ACTACAGGCATATAGTAGTAAGTTAGTGTATGCCATATCATTTACTATGAATAGATATTTTGTTCAAGTAAAATGTCTATTGTCTATAAAGTAATAAATAGACTTCAACAATTTTTATAAATCTGGGATCGTCTATTTGAATGGGTTTTTTTTTCACGTCACAAAAAAAGTGTCAACTAGCCAGCCAACTTACACACACTTTTAAAGTGAAGTGAAATATTTTTCTTTTAGTTGATAGAAAAACAATAGACAATTCTTAAAGCATAAACACATGGCGGTACAGTATTTGGTTTATATTTCGCCGAAGAAACTAATTAATACGACTAGTTTCTAGACTGACTTTTTTTATACTTGATCAGTTATTTTTTTTAATCTGTGATACATTTACTTTTACAAAAAAAGTGAACATTGTAAAATGAGTTTTGTATTTTTAATTTGTGTGACTGTAATTACCTATTCTTCTAGGTGATTGGTTTTGTTATAGCGTTTCCTTAAAATACATTTACCACTTATTATGCATTTCAATTGGTGGATTAAGTTCCACAACTTGACTACAATCTGATTGGTAATTTCAATTTTTGTTCCATTGGATAGATTATTTTTGACCAATAGTATAGCGTTAACCAAAATTAAGCAATTTTCGCCTATGAAAATGAAATTGTGTTTATTTGAATATTACTAAGTGCTCTTGTTAATAAATATAGCCGGATAGATGTTAACAAATAACTCAGATAATGTAGATTAAATCAACCTTATTATTAGTTCTCGGCAGGTATAGAAAATTGTAACCATGAAGTTATCGTTTCATCTATTGGAAATTAGTTAGAACTTATTTCCATAAAACTGATAGTAATTGATAGTACTATCAGTACACCAAAGGGAGAATCTATTTTTACAAAAACCCACATAACTTCATGACAACACTTAGCTGTCTATTCATTACTACTGATGAAAAGTTTCTTCCAGAATTAGGCATTCTCATATGAGTTGTCGTTGTTTTCAGAAAGTAAATTGCTTTCATCGTTATATTGTCCAGCAGAAAATATAAATCATCGGGCTACAATTTTGTGGCTTGAAGTTAATAAGATTTAAACTCCTGATCACTCTCTTAGGATATAAGTTTTTCTCGATGGTAGAGTTGCGAACCAGTAAATTTTTTTAGCATACACTGAATCGCCATGTTACGACAACTACAGTCTTCAATCAAACTAAAAGTTAAATTGTGATGAAATTCGAAATTATTTCAAAAGGCTGCATTATGATTTTCCCTATTTATCGATCGATATGTATGAATATCCATCTAACAGCCTGATTAGTCACATATGAAAACAAACCAGCTATTCAGATTTTTTCGGTAATTAAAATTTTCTGGCTAAAGTCATTTCTGATTGTAAATAACATTCGACGCAACCTATAAGTCTCAGAAAATATTACTCATTTGACTGCGTTCTATGTTATTCTTTATATGAATCAATAGAATAAGTATTAAGATCATCAGGTTCATTGATAATCCGAAATGCATAAAAGACTAAAGGTTAAACAACATCATCAGCACAAACTACGGATGAAAGTAAAGTATTCAAATTACCCGACGTTCGACCTGTAGATCAATCTTGATTAGTTGCAATTGACCTTAAACCTGTTGTTGTTTGTTTAGATTGTATCCCCCTTTTCATCTGTAGCCTTTGACCACGACAACTCTTCGCTTTTATCAACACACACCGACAATTATGGACATACATTTGACTGGAACAATGTGGAAATACTGGATAGGGGGAGGACAAAGAAAACTAGAGAATTTTTAGGAGCTTGGCACTCAGGTCAATCAGCACATCGAACTTGCCTCAATTTATCATCCAATCAGGTAAATCATAGGTGATATGAAATCAAAAGGGGGACACAATCAAAACAAACAACAACAGGTTTAAGGTCAACAGCAACTAATCAAGATTGAGGTTAGGAGAACAAGCTACAGGTCAAAGGTGGAGTAATTCGAATACTTTACTTCCATCTGAAGTTTGTGTTGATGATGTTGTTCAGAAGAACAATTAAAGCTTCACAACCAAAATATCCGGCTCAGACAACGAAACACCACCACAACCATTCACCTGAACTACAAATTTTCTCCACCATCTCAAGACTAAAGGTTTATCACACATTAAATAATATGGATTATTTAGCAGTAGCATTCAAATTGAATATAATAAGAAATTCATTTATGGTTTATTAACACCAATTTTTTCGTATTTTAATGTATTCATACTTTGAATTTATAGAACGGCTATGAAATGTTTCAATAACCCCTAAGATATATGATAACTAACGCCTTTCAATTGTCTATCGACATAGGTCAGGTTATACGGAAGATTTCAAGAGAAAAAAAATGAAATATGGTAAACACCGTTACGGTGAACGAATACATTAAATTCAGCAGTTAAATAAACGAAGAAAAAAGTCTTTCGATGTAATTTAGGTATACCACTCGTCACAAAATTCATGTTTTATAATATTTGCTAATAAGTCAAGCTACTTATTATTTTTAGGTAGTATGACAATCATTTAGAAAGAAAAGCAAAAAAGCCTGAGGTCAAATAGTAACGGCAAAAACATCAGACCAAAATGCACATGGACAACTGCAGTGTCAAACATTAATATTGGAAGGGTTCAAACTTTCACAAATAAAACACAAAGATAAAATTAGGCTAGAAATAACGAACGAATGACCATATCTCATAATAATAAGATTCTGATGAAAATCCTAGGATCACTAGTTTCTGTAACATACAAAATGAAATATTCATTCAACTTCGGGTATAATATAACCCACGTTGCTGACAATCAACGGAGATATAACTTGTTCAGAAAAAATTGTAGCAAAACGTCAACTTTCTCTGGAAAGTGTTTTTCTGCGGTTAGTAATATCAGTAACTTGTAGGTGAAAACTACACATGCATAGGATAATTTTTTATCCGAAATATTAAAAATTCTTAGTCCGTCACAAACTCCCTTTCATTTAAATTGATTTAAAGGTTAGTGATCTGCATACATCACTCAACTTAAAAACCGTTCATTGGCTTAAATTTTCATTTATTTAACCCTCAACTGAACATTAACTATATGTACAGGCTTTAAAACTTTCATTTCAACATCATTGCTCTAATGAAATGGTCAGAACGAACATGAGTAGCGAGCAGCACTTGCAAAGCAAGTTACTTACTTTTTCGATTGTGACCAAAGATTAGAAACCAGGTGAGAATAGCGCTGACAAAAACCAGATAGTCTTTTTCTATTTGCTTTTTACCAGGAGGCTCGCTTATTGACTTAGAATGTGCCAATGACATAGTCCTATTTGGTGAAGACGCTGACAAAATGCAGAGTCTTCTGACTACCCTAAGCAACAATGCAAGCATGTTCGGGATGCGGTTCTCACACTCGAATTGCAAAATGTTGCTTCAAGATTGGGTTTCATCGGCACCTGAACTAGTGATCGGGAGTGAAGTAGTCGAGCGTGTTGACCACTTCACTTATCTAGGGAGTCTCATCAGTGCCGATGGCCTGGTCACTGACGAAATCTCGGCACGGATACAGAAGGCTCGATTGGCTTTTGCCAACCTGTGTCACTTATGGCGCAGGCGAGATATCCGTTCGCTGACTAGAGGACGAGTGTACTGTGCAGTAGTTCGCTCCGTCCTACTTTATGGCTGTGAAACATGGACAGTCAGAGTAGAAGATATTCGTCGGTTACTGGTTTTCGATCATAGGTGTCTTCGAAGCATTGCTCGTGTATCCTGGGACAACCGAGTAAGCAATGCTGTTGTTAGGAAACGAGTGCTAGGTAAGGATGGCAAATCCATAGATGAAGTAGTGAAACTTCATCAGTTGAGGTGGTTGGAACATGTGTTACGTATGCCTAACCACCGACTGCCTCGACGAGCTATGTTTTGTGGTGTAGGAGTAGTTTGGAAGAAAGTTAGGGGTGGCCAGACCAAAACACGGCACAAATCCATGAAGTCACTGACAAGTGGACTGGGTCATGTTGGTAGATGTAGGCTATCTGGTTGGGATCCGCGAAACGAAAGTCACCAATGGTTAGGGACCTTCAACGACATGGGTCAGAATCGTTTGCAATGGCGCAGGTTCATCAACTATTTGTGTGCCTTTTAATTCTAACCTTCTGAATTCCTCATAATCTCTATCTTTCTCCTTCTAAATTTATTTCACTGAATTATACTTTGCAAATCATATCTTTGCTCCCTAATCTCCTCCATTCCTGTTAATAATTCTACTATCGCTATCACTCTTGGATTTGAACTGACAGTTACGTCTCTGTGCTGACGTGGTACAGCAACCTGGATTGATGTACTTATGTACGCAGTTCTGCGTCGTATCCGTTTATTTGCTTTATTTCACTTTTTGTGCTAGTCTTCTCTAATTCGACTCCAAACTACTGTCGATCATGATTATTTAAACTACCTCATATTAGCACTATTGTTTTATATTCACTAAATTATTATATTCTAAAGGATAATAGTCATAAAAAATATTACCTATACTATATCACAACTTGATAAAATGACCAACTTGCAAAGTAGGTAAACATGATGTATTGATAACTTCTGATTTACGTTCATCAAACGATAGAAATATAATATTTACCAGATTAACTCATGAATATGAAATAAAATACGAACATGCTGGCTAAGCAGTCAAAAGGTTAAGCGTTAGTGCGCGAGGTCGATTCCCGCTCACAGGGTCATGGATACACGCTTCCGACGAGTCCCATACAAGGACGAATCGACCGTCTACTGCTTCCAGGTTTGCAAAAGTGGTTTATCATTGTTCAATTCATGAGTTCAATAAAAAAAATAAAACACGAAGTCAAATTAGATGTTAGCTCTCCGAAATAACGAATACATATCCCGCAAACGTTATAAATATTACGACTAATGAGAATATTACACCAAAAATAGATTCAACTAGTCGATTAAAAAACGAAAGAATTTAAATTTTGTAGTTAATAACTGGTTTGTTTGTTTTTTATATTTCATTAAAATTTCAGTATGCACACAATAATTAAAAACAAAACCATACACACACACACATAGAGAAAACCAATGATCAGCACAATATACAAATGAAAATAATACAAAGGGTTATCTCAATTGACATTTTTCTCAAAATTGGGGAATTAGAAAAGTACTATAACAACATACTTATGTCATGAGTAACAGAGAGAGAGAGAGAGAGAAAGAAAGAGAGAGTGGGGAGTATAGTGAAAATATTCATTTTCCATTCATTTATATATAATATGTGTGTACATTTTGTATAGAGAGAGACATATCAGATTTTACTGTACAAAAATAAACAGAAGAGATTAGAAAAGATGATGATAGTAAAAACAAATATGCACAATAAACATAGATCGAGGGATTTCAATTAATACAAAATCATCATCATCATCATTGGTGCTGTTATTAACACTGTCGTCTGCGTTTTCCATAATGACTAGAAGTAGTAATTAAAGGTGGTGACTGGTGATGATCATCATCAGGATTTAAATTTTCACTGTCAATATTATTATTCAGAGGATGAATAACTGTACTACTACTACTACTACTGCTGTTGTTACAATTGCCACCATTAATGATATTATTATTATTATTATTACTATTATTATTATTATTAACAGTGGAAATATTTAATTGTTGTAATGCTTTCAACTTTTTATTCATTTGTTCTAGTAAATCTAAAGCACATTGATGCAAACGACTACCGGGACGATTGCTACGCAACCAATGAGAGAGAAGTAGTCTAGACAATTGAAAACAAAACAAAGAAAAGTATTAAATTTTCAATGAATAAAAGGGGAAAAAAGATATAAAAAAAGGTATTAGACATGTTTTATACAACATCGTCATTCAATTTAAACTGTTGACTCTACCAGAAAAGTGACCATTTGGTTGCCATATAGCACCGAACTCCTTGGATCAATCAATCAGTTAGTTATGAAAGTTATGAAATTTTTTTTAAATTCTAAGAGTAGATAAAAAAGATGGAGTACTTAATAATAGGATAACTTATGATTGTAATCCTGTCAGTGTTAGCTTACGATTACCAGCAAATCATTAGTGAATCTATCTAATCGGTGACTAGATAAATGATATTTCTAAAAGACCATGATACTTTGTGATACTTTGTCCACTAATATTTCAAATGCATAATAATTGAGTAGTCTAAAAAATAGTCTTTTGTTTAAAATAGAATAATTAAATGATACTTAAAAGTCAGTAAGATGGAACTAAGACATGCAAAAATAAAAATAACAGCCGATTTCTTCGGTATATGATAATATAATTATCAGTACAGTAAAACAACTAACCGTAGCTGAGGAATTACTTGTCCTGGTCCCTGAGGTAATTCGCCACGAGCCAAAATCTCTTGTAACCCGACTAAATCTAGAGCATACAATCGACGATCTTCAAAAGAATGACCTGATGTTGTCGACCGTGTCCGATGACTTGTTCGGGGACGTTCGGATACGGAATTCACAATGAAACTATCCTCTGGACTACCGTTAGCTTGATTTAATTCATTTAAAGCTACAGTTCGACCGAGTCCACATCGAAGAAGTGGACGTGCTGAACTGATAGAGCATAATTCTGATAGGAAGCACTCAGCAGTAGCTTGATCAAACTGTTCTCGACTACACGACAAAGAATTGACTGAATCAGGAATATCAAGTGAGGGGTTGGGTAGAGTTACCTCAGATTTACGGGGACGACCACGACCAGAACGACGTCCTCTATCACTAGTATTCGTAATTTGTGAAACACAATTATCTAAAACGATAGATGCCCGTTTCACTAAATAAAAAGGAAAATAAAGGTAATTATGGTGATTAAAAGTTAAGACATAAATCCTAATAAATTAAACGGTAAAAAGTAACCAAACGATCCAGTGAACTTATCCGACATTAGATTTATGTACAATAATTATCATTAGCAAAGATTAGAAGTGTTATTAAAGTGTTAAAGATATATATGTCTTTCGGGTACTTCCAATAATCAACGAGCGGAACGATAGAAGAACGATGTACTCTACTGATATAGTGAGACAGTCAGAACTGGACAAATGAGGTCGTTTGATGACAATCAGAAATGCCCTAAAGGATAAACGTATATCATTGATCAATAAATGGCTTTCATTTCTAAAGGGAAGAAATATATATATGAACGAATATTTATTCATTGATATGCTTGAAACTATTACGAGTACATCTTATTCGGCTATTCTGATTCGATTTTCCTTGGCCCTGCTTACTAAAGATGGAAGTGTATTCTACAAGCATCCAGAAAATACAAAGTTGCTAAGTAAACAAATCAAACTTATTTATACATGAAATAGAGGTCCTTGAGAAAGCCACAAAAATAGCGTACTAAAATAATACATCAACTAATGACAGGGATTTCCCGAGTGAGAAATGTAATCTCAAGGTCAACTAGGCGGCCCAAGCGCGGATACATAAAATCCAAAATTAGGACCTTCACCAAGTGAGTTCTTGGGATCTAACGTCCCTGACATGCATATTATTCGGTAGCCAAATAGACTTCCACTTCTTGCTCAAATAGTCAGTTTGGACACTACTCATCATAACAACGTGTTTCACAGAAATTTAAGAAAGAATTACAAATTGAAAACATTCATGCCATTAAAACCATACTTCATCTAGTCTACAACCTTTAATTTTAGCTGCGATGTAGAGCATAACTAAACAATTATACAGCTCTTCAAACAACTCAAAATAACACAGAATGACCAAATGAGCAGATGTACTATCTCTTGGTTTAGACATCTAAAGCATTTCTGCTACACCAGCTAGTCTCAGGAAAATATTAGACAAAGAAGCTAAAGTGTATAGGAAACAGATCAGACAGAAATAAACAATGTTACTATGAAGAGAAAAAAACTTTGGAAACCCCAAATAATAAAATTGTTTTAGATCGAAACTAACAGTTATTATCATAATAATATACTTTTAATCTATTACTATTTGGAACACTGAAATGAACTATTGTACGTGGGTGATGTACTTCTATATGATAATTGCAGTATAAATGCTGATTCTTTAGAGTAACTGACAATAGAATTAAAGATATATAAACAATATTATCTATCGTGGAAGAACAAGAAGATATGACAGGAGTTAAAGGGAATGAATTATCTAAGTGTTTGTTTACTTCATTCTTACACGTAAAATGTGTTTATTACAAATAGAATATATCAAAAGCTTCCAGAATAATATTGTAATAGCAAATAAGTACTTAGCATAAATGAGTATAAGTAGTAAAACACATTAATTTTTTTACAGTACCGATTAGAAACAGTTGATAGAATAAGGACTTACAGCGACAATTTCCTTCAGGTTCAGCAGTCGGAGATAACTCATTTGTTACAGCTGCATTTACAGACCCTGAGTTTCGCTTCGATTTTCTACTTTGATGATTTAGAGGACTAAGCAACTGTTCTACTTCATCATCATAATGGACATCCACAGTAACACATTTACTAATAGATGACACGTCTACTGATGTGGAAGATGTGCAAGTAGCTTCTGAACTAGATTCTAGACTTTTGTCACAATGATTAACTTTATCTGATACACATTTATTCGTTGAACGACGACCACGATGACTATGTACACGGTGAAAACGACTAGGTCTACCACGACGTCTTGCTACAGGGACATTATCTGTGGACATTGTTTTCGTATGAGAATTGTCAGTCGATTTGTCAGAATCTAACTCCTCCACATTATCAAGGAGGTTATCTATTTTTTCATCTGGACTCCCATTGGAAGATGCAAGGTCATCAGACTCATGAGTAACAACAGAACGACGTTTTCTTCCAAATTGATTTGTCTTCTAGTTGTTAGAATATAAAACAATGAAAATGGGATTTGATTTGCTCAGTTACATAATTAATAGATAATCTATGTCTATTTCGAGAATATACTAACAAGAACTAAGTATGTGATGCAGTTGATTGGTCCAACAAATTCTATGCACACTTTGAACCATAGATCTTCAGGTGGCGGTGGTCATGGAATTGGCAGCGCTCGACTGTTGAGTAAAGTACACATCTACTCATTATAGAATATCAACTGGTTAACTAATGCATTTGAAACCACATATTTATTAAATGAGAACTATGCTTGTTGCACAGCTGTTGACATAAACTGCAACATGTTTCATGAATACTTTACTCTACGTATGAAAATTTAAGTAGTATAGCGTTTCTAACCAAGAGTATGGTTAGAGACTGTCTTACAGAAATGAAGTTCAGTGGAGAATTCTATTTGCACAATAGTAAGTAACCTAACATAAATTTTGATAGAACAGTGAGAAGACGTAATTGATCTGAAAAATGTGATGTATTTGCGCTATACATTTCGAACAATCTGGTCACACATATTTACTTGTCAAGGCATTTTATATGAAGATGAATAAAAGGTCAATTAAATAAAAGTTCAAATAGACATAGGGTGATAATTGTAAATAAAGGAGAGAGAAAATTAACGTAATATGAAAAGAATAAGAAGGGGTAGGAAAATTGTCACATTACCCTAGGCTTAAAGATTACCAAGGTAAATTCAAGGTTATGACAAATTGTTTCTGCACACATAAAGGGGGTTTTAATTTTCTAATAGCCAAGGCCTCCATAAACCTCAAAATTCGTCCTTCAACATTTCTATACAATGTTTTGAAGGCTGTCTTGATGTCAATCTTATGCCCTGTCTCAATTATGTGTTTGGCGATCGATGAACATGGCTTTCTATTTCCAACGTTAATCGGCTCATCTGACGTTAACTGATTTTGAAGCCACTTAGGTACATGTTCCACAACCCTTGATTGCAAAGTCCGATTACTCCTCCCTATGTATGTGTGTCCACACAAACATGTAAATTGATAAATACAATGGGATGTGATGTAATCATTAGAGCAACGTTTAGGTATATGAGAAATCATGGACTTGGTCTTTTCAATGATAATCAGTTTAGCAGCGTTGTATGTTTTCTCTATGGCTGCTTTTAGTCTCTGTCTTATTATTAGACCATTTGCTTCACCTCTAAATGGTAAAGTGATATAAACCTTTTTCTTTTCAGCAGAATCAAACACTTGCTTTTGTCTTAACCGATCTCTACACCTATTGATAAACTTTAGCGGATAGCCATTTGAAATCAATGCTTCAGTTAAGAATTTCGCATCGTCGTCAAATGTATCCGTGGTGCAAATCCTTTGTGCCCTATTGAAGAGGCATTTTACTAAACCTCGCTTGTGTTGCAGTGGACAAAAACTGTTGAAATTTAGGTACTGTCCAGTCCACGTCGGCTTTCTATAAACAGACCGCTTTATAGTTCCATTATCTCTTCGGCTCAACAATATGTCTAAGAAAGGCAACCGATTATTATTTTCTGGTTCATGAGTTAGTACAATATCATTCTGAAGACTATTGAAGTTTTCCAATAACTGGGAGACGTTAAGTTCTTTATCACATATAATTAAAATATCATCCATATATCTCCTATAGAGAGTAAGCTTATTAATGTGCTCATTCCACAAATTTTCAGCATATGCCATGTAAACATCGGCTAAGAGAGGTCCCAAAGGACTACCCATAGCAACGCCATCAATTTGCTGGAAATGTTCATCATCAAACGTGAAATGAACTTTTTCAGTACATAATAAAATTAATTCTCTTAGTAGACTTGACTGAATGGGAAAAAGGGGGAAATTACTTAATATATAGTCACAAAGAAAGTTTACAGTTTTCATTAGGGGAATTTACCTTGGTAATCTTTAAGCCTAGGGTAATGTGACAATTTTCCTACCCCTTCTTATTCTTTTCATATTACGTTAATTTTCTCTCTCCTTTATTTACAATTATCACCCTATGTCTATTTGAACTTTTATTTAATTGACCTTTTATTCATCTTCATATAAAATGCCTTGACAAGTAAATATGTGTGACCAGATTGTTCGAAATGTATAGCGCAAATACATCACATTTTTCAGATCAATTACGTCTTCTCACTGTTCTATCAAAAGTGTTTATATTTGAAATGATGTGTTTAAGCAAAAGCTTCACATTCAACCAGATCATTATCTGTGTAACAATAGTGGCTTATTAATTATAACAGTTAACAAAAAATGCCGATATCAAGGCAAACTGCACAAGAGGCACATATTCCAAATGATACTGATCAATTGCAGTAGTCTAAACTATCAATGGAAAGATTCAAACTACCAGAGCAAATGTACTAACTAATAGTCAGCTTATCAGTGTACACTATGGCTAGAAAAACGATATGATATTTCCAACTTACGCATCATTAAGTATAATGTTGGAAAAAAAACTAGAACACAAACTCATACTGGATTGTAAACTTTCAATAACTTATTTTTAATTTGAATATAGATTAACACTTACAGTTTACACATATTTCACAGAATGGAAATGTTTAAGTATTAATAAAATGGTGTAATTAATAAATAAGCTATTCACTAAACTAATACTACTGTAAAGTGGTTGATTAGCCAACCATATGTAGTAATAATAATAATAAAGTTTATTAGTTATTCAAATGATTTCACAAACCAAGTGCAAAGATTAAAAATATACACATGTAATGATAAATGTTATGATTACCTTTTGCAATGAACTATTTTCACTAGTATCTAGATAATCTTCATTTGTATACACTAGTGTAGTAGATAATTCAAATGCTTCATTATTCGATTGTAATAGTCCTGTGGAATTATCTGCTCTTGACAATAATGCTTCAGCTGATCGAAGACAAAATGCACACAAGATAAGACTACCACCTAACACTTCAAGACGAGCAGATGTAACACTGGATAAAGAAGAATAATTGCTCAGAAATCCAGTATATGGTGAATCAATGTTATGAGAACTATCGGAACTTGAAATATCAATCTGCTTGGTTCGTGATCTGCGACAACTAGTTCGTCGGGTAGTTGAAGAGAGAAGACAATCCAAATGATAAGGGCAAGCACAACCAGAACAAACTGAAAATGCAAACACATTACCGGATGCATTTGATACAGCCAAATTATCTGGAGGACCTCTACAATAGTAAAATTCAAGAATTTAAAATATTTGTGAATACTTTAAGGTAAAAATCGGAATTTTTAGTTACGAACAAAATGAATAAGTGCAATGACGAATTTGCCAACTAAAAATGACAACACAGAGACAAAAATTCAGATATCGCTTTGAGGCAGTTTTAGCTTAGAATTCAGTAACCAACTAACTTAAAAGTATCAGCAAGGAATATTATCACTTTTTGATAAAAACTAAATCATAACTAAACGAAAAGTATCAAGTAACACATCTCGAGGTTAGGAGGAACATATTAGAGAGGACGTATTACCTCTAATATATATATATATATATATATATATATATATATATATATATATATATTCCGCAAATCCTAAAGAATAATAAAAGTGAGGAAATGCATTATCGATGTTGAATACCCGGAGAACTATTTGTCACAAAGATTCTGATCTTTTAACAAACCACAAACTTAAACAGTGAAAACTTAAAGAGAAACACATCACCAAATGTTAACGGTATTCTTTTTGGCTTACTTCTATTACATCTTAACTACTCATCGTAATTTTTTATGTGAAAATTCATAAGTAACAGCTAATAATAACAGTCAAATATAAAGTAACTCATAATTAGTCGATAAAATTACCAAAAGCAATAGGAAACATCATTTTAATAATTTTCGCAGAACACAGAGTTGAAATAGCCAAGCCTTATTAACTTTAGATTTTGAATTGACTTTAATCTATACTAAAACAAATTGAATCAAACTTTTGATTTCTGATAATTTTTCATGTAATGGAGGAGAAAATCTAGTTATAAAAACATTTTGCTACATTTTACTCATTTATATTAATTGTAAATTTCTGCCTAACCACTAACTGCCTCGTCAAGCTATGTTTTGCGATATACGAATAGGTTGGACGAAAGCTAGGGGAGGCCAGACCAAAACATGGCACAAATCCATGTAGTCAATCACAACTGTATTGAGTCATGTTGGTAAGCGTAAACTACCAGATTGGAGTCCATGAAATGATAGTAATCGATGGTTAGAGACCCTGAATGACATGGCTCAAGACCGTTTGCAATGGCGCAGGTGAATCCACTCTGTGTTTTCTAGAATCGTTACTTTCTGAATTCCTCATCACTTTTTCTTTTTAAGTTTATTTCACTAGATTGTACTGCTTGAATAATATTTTCTAGTCCTAACCTCCGACAACTGCTAATACCTTTACTACCTCTACTGCTATGGGATTTGAATTAACAATTACATCTCTGTGCTAATGTGGTATGGCAACTTGAACTGATGTACGTACGTACGAAGTTCTACGTTGCTGTTGATTGATTGATTGGTTGACTTCAATAATATTGATCAATGTCAAAAAACTCTACAAATAATGTCATTATAGCTTAGGTAGAATTTTATTATTAGAATAATTAAGCTTCAATTTTTAAAGCTATCCTCTACATTAAAAACAACAATGATGTGACAGAAAGGAATAGAAATATGGTAGAAGTAATAATAAAAAGAAGAAGAATAACACATACCGACATGAAGTACATTTTAAAGTAGGCAATGGATGTTGTGAAACATAATTAGCAATTGCAGAAGATACACCTCGACCACCTAAAGTAGCACGATGAGCTCCACGTTCAAGTGCACGTGCTAATAAATGTAATTGTGCTGTAGAACTAGCCTGTTCCACACTAACACACCATCTTTGCCAACCTGTAGTTCTTAATGTTTGCATTATATTAGAATTAGTTGTTATCATTGAATCATTTGTATCGGATGGTAAATTAGTTTCTGGGTATATATTCTCTAAATAGGTTGGTTGTTTGACAGTTGAAATGTTCATAGGTTCACTACGCAAAGTTCGCTCATCATTTGCTGAAACAGTTAAGTAACAAACAAAAATGAGAATGATTTTAATTTAGTTTACAACATCAACATTGATAAAACTGCGACAGTTGTACACAAACGGTGAATAGGATAGAAAACTGTATGAGTTATTAAAGAGTAATAAATAAAAGCTTTGTAATTTTTTAAAATTACATAACGATATTTATTTTTATCCTCCGATTACGTTGTTTTATAAAGGATACTAAATTACGAAGATAATTTGTAAAATTCTATTTCACTCAGACAAAGAGATACATGGTAGACAATGAATCTAGAATGTAAAAAAATTAAATACGTTGAGTAATTTAAACGATTCAGTGAGAAAAGAACAATGTCCTTTGTGGGTGTGTGTATGTGTGTATGAAAATCCCTTAAGGATGTATTCAATGTGATGATAATAATAATAATACTTTATTCTATTTCACATGTGACACTATTACTGCTTTCAATCCCTTCATTCATGCGTATCATGTTTATCTTTGCTTCAAATATGACTATCATTATTATTACGCTGTTTTGTCTGTAATTTGGATTTTTCAACCGTACTCCAGTTAGCACATGATATTTAATTAACTAATTAGTTTTCTTTCACTCAACTCTATATCTTGGTTGTTGCTGTTATTATTTATTTGCAGGATTTCGTTTTTTATGCTTGAGTTTATTTAATTTGTTTGATCATCTGTGAATAGAACCACGAACACTTGGTTTTGATGGAAAAAAATTCGTTATTCTATCCCTTTGACAATTTAATTATTTGACAGACTAAAGAGGTTATATTTTAAAAGTTCCTTAGTACAAATTAATGGTTACCTAGCGTGGAAACGAGTGTTTGGATATTTATTACATTTTGTACTTGTATTTACGTTCAAACATTAGCGTAAATATAATCGAACAATTGTGTTATCAGTAGCATCTAGCGAACTGATGGATGCTCGAAAACTCATTGCCGAGTACGATGAGGAGCGGAGTCAACAAAGGCGCAAGCTGATAAAAGCCCACGCAAACATCGCGAACAGTGGCGGGTGGCGAAAGCGAGAGAGATGGAAAAGGTAGCAGCGATAGGCAACAGCAGACAACTATTCAGACGCATCAAGAAAACCGGTATTAGAATCCCATCTGTTAGCTAAATTATTCCGGAAAAAGATGGGCTAATGATTCATTCTCGATCCAGGAGATTTGATCGATGGGCAGAACACTTCAGGGATCAGTTCAACTGGCCTCTAGCCACACTTCAGGTGCCCACGATCGCCAGTCATCCTGAATGGCAAACCGACATAAATCCTCCGAATTTTTATGAAATTGAGAAAGTGATAGGAAATCTCAAGCGAGAGAGAGAAGTGGGTCCTGATAGACTGACCCCGGAGATATTTAAGGATGGTGGTCCAGTTTTAGCAGCTAGATTGACTGAGATCTCAGGTAGAATATGGGAACTGGACACAATCCCATCCGGCTGGTCTCAATCACTAATTGTTCCAATTTATAAGAAAGGAAAAAAGTCTTCTTGTGACAATCACAAAGGAATCAGTCTAACTAATATAGTTTCCAAATTGTTAGCCTCGATTATAATTAGATGCCTTACTAGTGCTCGTGAAGAGCAGACTAGAGAAAACCAGTCTGGTTTCAAACCTGGACGTCGTTGTATAGACCACATCTTCACACTACGACAGGTCCTGGAACACAGACACACAATTAGACGCCCGACAATAGTTATCTTCCTGGATCTTAAGGCGGCATTTGACTCAGTGGATCGTGAGGTTCTGTGGCAGTGTCTGTCATTAAAAGGTGTACCAAAGAAGTACATTGACTTTATGCACGCTCTCTACTCGAACACTACAGGTCGAGTGAGAGCTTATGGCGAACTGTCATCGGAATTCTTTACTTCAAGCGATGTCCGTCAGGGATGTTCACTCTCCCCATTCTTGTTCAATTTTGTCATAGACACGCTACTAAATATGACATTATCATCGTCTAAATTTTCAGGAGTAGACCTCCCGGAAGACACGCTTGTTGACTTAGAATATGCCGATCACAGTTTCAATTGGTGAAAATGCTGACAAGATGCAGTCTTCTGACTACCCTTAGCATGTTTGGGACGCAATTCTCCCCGTCAAAATGGAAAGTGTTGCTTCAGGATTTGCTTGTATAGACACCTGAACTAGTGATAGGGAGTGAACTAGTTGAGTGTGTTGACCACTTCACTTATCTGGGGAGTCTCATCAGTGCTGATGGCCTGGTGACTGACGAAATCTCAGCACGGATACAGAGAGCACAATTGGCTTTTGCCAACTTGTGGCACTGATGGCGTAGGCGAGATATCCCTCTACTAATCAAAGGACGAGATTGATGCGCAACAGTTCGTTCCGTCCAACTATACGGGAGTGAAACATGGCCAGTGAGAGTAGAAGATATTCGTCGGTTACTGGTTTTCGATCATAGGTGTCTTCAAAGCATTGCTCGTGAATTCTGGGACAGCCGAGCAATCAATGGTGTTGTTAGGAAACAGGTGCTAGGTAGGGATGGCAGATTAATAGGTGAAGTAATGAAACTTCATCAGTTGAGGTGGTTGGGACGTGTGTTACGTATGGCTAACCACTGACTGCCTCGTCGAGCTATGTTTTGCGATATACGAATAGGTTGGACGAAAGCTAGGGGAGGCCAGACCAAAACATGGCACAAATCCATGTAGTCAATCACAACTGTATTGAGTCATGTTGGTAAGCGTAAACTACCAGATTGGAGTCCATGAAATGATAGTAATCGATGGTTAGAGACCCTGAATGACATGGCTCAAGACCGTTTGCAATGGCGCAGATGCATCCACTCTGTGTTCTCTAGAATCGTTACCTTCTGAATTCCTCATCACTTTTTCTTTTTAAGTTTATTTCACTAGATTCTACTTATTGAATAATATCTTCTAACCCTATTCTCTCCGATTGCTGCTAATACTTCTACTACCTCTACCACTATCTAATTTGAAGTGACAATTGCGTCTCTGTACTAATGTGCTATGGCGACCTGAACTGATGTACGTACGTAAAAAATTCTACGTTGTAACTGACTAACTGAATGGATTTGGTATGATTACACACTATAGATACAACTAGGAATAACTTACAAAGAAACAGAAACACAACTTTAAGAGTTTGAACGTTACGAAAAGTTTGCGATATATTGGTGATTGATATTACTCAATAAATCACTACCACGTTCTATGTGAAAATTCTGATAGGTTAACTAAAACTATGACATAGCCTAGAAAGGCGCATCGATTTACGTTGTTTAAAATATGGAAAGGCTAAAAAATAATATAGAACAATAAAACGAATAGGTATAACATAAGACAAGTAGTGAATCTATAAGTGTGCACCATGATAATTGATTTTGATTCATGTATACATATACGTTTATGTAACTATTTTTATTATTTCAGAGATCTAACAGAACCAAACCTCAAATCTATTGATTATTCATTCTAATCTAAATCAATTAAAAAGGATTAATTTATTTTGAGATTTTTTTAAAGTAGGTTCAATAATTCTCCTTCAGGAAGAAAAAAATTCAAAACTGCATGAAGATATTAGACCATATTATATGACGATGTAACCACATCAAATCTATGATTTAAGCCATAAATTTATCGATCAACAGATGCTAAAATAAATTATCAATACTTTTGTCAGAGTAATATACATCTATACCGTAAATTAAAAATTTTAAGGATAAACATGAATGTCGATAGATTAAATGACTCACCCAGTGGCCCAGCGACACCTTTCGGACTAACATCATGGCCCAGAGATAAAATTATTCTCGAAAGGCGCTTTACATCTGGATTAATAGAATCATGATTTAATGGAGTTTTTAAAGAAGCTTCACCAAGTTTGACAGAACTGTCGGTACAATCTTCAGCTGATACAGAAACAGTGTCAACATTCCCCACTTCACTAGAATGATTGAAATAGAATAATTTTAAAAAGTGGCTTCAAATAAAAGAATGACCGCATTCTAGATGCAGACTACTGGCTAACATGTTTGATATATGGAAACTGACTACATAAAATACTGTACAGAATACTGTTAAGGATTTTGCTTCGAAAATATGGGGATAATTGCTATGCTAAAACATATCGCATTAAGAAATTCGTATCCTGAATATGGTTTTATAATCTAATGATTAAAACAGATTTAGTTTATAAAGCAATACTCGGTGAATATTAAGTAAGTTTGAGGGGAGTAGTAGCTAGATGATTGAACTATATGCTTTTCAGTCATTAGATTGTGAATTTGAATTTCACTCTCTCAGCTCCAATTCACCAAATTAGATAGGATTACTAGCTATTAAAAGAAATGCATTGTTTGAGCTCAAGCTATTAAACCTGAATTACGCAAATGAGATATGTTAAAGAACGACTTCGATAAATTTTCGACAAATAACTAAGTTTAATATACATGTCTTTTTCTGGAACGATGTGCCATTACCTTATAAACTACTGTCTTATTGATTTCCTCAATGAATTCACAATATGCCTCTAACTTCCTCAGATTCGTTAACAATATAGTGAATCAAAATGAACTAGCAAATAAATAAAAAATGGTTGCACTTAATGATTTTGTTCTGCTAAAATTTACACTACTCACAAAAATATGAGTAGCACGTTTACTGACAATCAAAATATTACTGAAAATCAAGTGCCGTATATCTAGACAATCTCAAAAATTAATTAATGTAAACCTACTTATTTGGAAGTGATTCCTTAAGATCTTGTTTACACGGCCCAGTTTCAGTATTTGCTGAGTTTTCTGTGAGATTACTGCTTTTATCGAACAACAAGTTTTTAATTAAATCCAGACGACCAAGACGATATCCTATACCAACAAGAGCGATTTCCAACCATGAACACATGATTGCTTGAGATGAATTACCACCAGGAGGATTACTTTTCTCATCAGTGATAGTAACACCTTCAGGCGATCCAGATGCCTTCTGAGAGTTAGTTGATGTCTAAGGGTTTAAAAATATGTCAAGCTGATAATTTTTTTTATTTTAATTCAAAAAAATTTTTATTAAAATAAATGACATGAATGAGTTAGGCTATTTTTTCTCCATGTTTCCTAGTGTAATCTTGAAAGCATAATGAACAAAATTTATTAATAACTATCATATTTTTGTCGAAATAATCACAAATCTACATTTCAGTAAGATCTCTAAATATCTATAAACTGCCTAATCGATAACGTTAGAAGTGCTTCGGTTAGTGAAAATAGAGTACAAAACGATTGTCACTTTCCTTTAGCTTAGACAGATGAACTGTCAAATTACTTGTTTTGTGATTGAACGCAGTCGATAGGAAACTCTTATTTGGGCTACCAAAATCTTCGACAAAAAATTATGCTCTTAAAGATTTAATCATAAAACTGAGATTGCTTAGTGAGATTATAACCGGTAAGTGAAGAACTACTAGGGATGAAAAGAATCTTATAGCTGCCGTAAGCAGCATGATAGCATCTGTGATTTAAAAGAAAAAACTTTCATAAAGAAAATTCTACAAAGATAATGACAAAGTAACATATTGAAAAGTGTGGAAATTAGGGATAAAATAAATTTGTAACTACAGTTTCTAGAAAACACTTTGAGTCTTGAGGCAACCTCCTCTCTGTAGACATCACATACAGCTGAAAATATTTTATCGATTAATTCGTTAAAATATAACAAAGATTAAATAATATAGAAAAATATTTCAATACAAAACTGACCTTGTCAATTATTGTTGAACAGTGTTTATTCGTAGCACAAATGATTTCCGGTGGACACATAGTAAGTACTTTAATAAGCAGGGGTCGTAATTGGCCAATCGTTTTACGAAGACGAGATTCACGGATACCTCGAGGATTTAATGAAGCTTCTAAGCAATCAATAGTCCATTTGGCTTTTTCAATCATTAAATCGACTTCATCACTGGTTAAAGACCAAATTTTATTATTGTCAGTAATATTTATCTTACATTTCGATTCATCATCATTGATAGAATTATTATTATTATTATTATTATTATTATTATTATTATTATTATTAGCACACTCTTCTGATTTTACAGGAATATCAGGCGAACAATCATGTGTGGAAGAAGATGAAACAATTTCTGTATTTAAATCAGAATTGATAGTTTGATTAGTTGTATTATTAAGCATCTTTTTCTGATACAATTCCCTGTATGCATCAGGTATGAGAATGGACCAAACAGTTGTGGATTGTGATGAATTCCTAGGATTACATCGTAGCTTAGCTAATTGACTAACTGCAGGACAAGCATTATGCAAAGAAGAATCATGGGCAGTAACACGTTCCTATGGTAGAGAAACAATGAAGAAAAGAATTAAGTTCATTTTGTTACATAGATGCATATAAAAATCTACAAATACTTATCATGAAAAATTTTTTTGAAATATTCAATTTGAATCATTTCAAATTGAGAAAGAAAAGGCAAATTTTAATCTAATCATTTACGACTAGCACTAGTTAATTACACAAATGTTTTAAAGTCACGATAGATGAGTGTTATAATTCCCTCTTAGTAGTACCCAGTTATTCCTATTGCTTAGTATTATCGGACACCAACCCACTCGACGGGTCCCCAAAATCAGAACACGGTTGAACAGGGAAGAGATTATATTCCAAATAGCAAAGGTTAAATGAAAATAAGAAGCCGAAGCGAAGGTAAAATAGGAACAACGTTAGTATCTTCATAGTTTTTACATGAGAAGCTTCTGGAACGTTCTCCAAGTATCGGCTAGCGTTGATTGGGTAAGAATTACCATTACGGGGTTGTTGTGAAGATTGTTAAGTTTTTTTGAAACCATGAATCGATCAATGTCAGACCACCATTAGAAACCTGGAAGTACTGGAAGGCTATTTCGTTCTGGTGTGGGACTCCTCAGAAATGCGCATCCACGACTCCTGCACCCCGCAGGATTCGAACCCAGAACCCTAACCATCGAACCACTGAGCCGGTATCTAACGGTGTTAATGTGTAACTTGATCAATTCACGGAGTTGCGCAACCTCATACACAGTCTTCGGTAGTTACTGTCTACACCCGAACAGGTTGAACTTCACTGACCACGTCTTTCCACTAGAACTCGGAGATCCCTCACGAAGCTAGTCACTAGTGAGCACAGGTTATTTGCATTACGGGGTTGTTGTGAAGATTGTTAAGTTTGCTTTTTTTGAAAAAAAGAGTAAGAATTAGCCAATCAGCGTGCCGCTAACACAATCATGCTTTAATCTCATGCATATACCACTAACAATGAGATTATTTGGTTTGATAGCAGCTTAGAATCTTTTCACATAGACTTAAGAGATTATTAATAACTAAAATTAATTTAATTAACTTAGTTTTATTTTCTACATAAATAGAAAACAAAGAAGAAACATGTGATGCATATATACTTTTAATTGACATTCGGACTTACAAGTTTAACAAGAGTACGTAGTTGTTCAATTGATAAACTTGCTGTTGCGGATGATGATGATAATGACACTGAAGATTGATGTGGTAAATAGGCAGCAACACGAAGCGTTAATTCTTCTCTATCCAACATGTCACTATCTTTAATAGAATTGATTATCTGCCGTAAATGTTTACCGGCATCTTCAGAGCTAGTAAGACCCATTTGTTTAGCAAGTTCAGGATGTGCATACACAACTTGACGATTTCGAATTGAAGCATTGACATAATAAGGATTTTTATCAATACACTGACAATCTTCAATTAGTATACATGGTACAGACATAACTAGCCAATATTGTCTATAATGATAAAATGAATTAATTTAATAACAGTACTACAAGCACATATAACTAAATACAAATGTAAAATTGAAGATAGGCTAACGTGTTAGAAATTGAATAATGTTGAAAAGAAGAAAATTACTCTAACTATTAGCATTAGTTAGGATGTAGTAATGTTTTTTTTAAAGGTTAAAATTGTTGGAGATGTTAGATCCCCAGAACTCGCTTGATAAATGCCTTATTTTGGATTTCACATTTGCGAGCATGGGTTGGTCAGTTGATCTTGAGATTTCATTTCCCACCAGGAAAATCCATGGCTGTGACTGGCTGCTGTGTATTCTAGTGTGCTATTTTCGCAACTGCCCCAGGGACATGACTATGATGTATAAATAAACGAGAGTTGTGTGCTTGATTGTATTGTGATTGCTGGGTGTTTGTAGAATATACTCTCTATGCTTACAAAGACTTCTGTCTACAGCTTGGGATTCAAGGTAGCCTATCTGGACGCTGGTAACTGTCTCGTTCGCGTTTATCGACTAAGGTGAACTCGTAATAGCTTCAAGCATACCCAGTGACGAACATAACAAAAAGATGTATAATTACCTTATACTATTGATAATTCTTCGTAACACGAGATAACTCAATGTTTTAATGATGATATAGTGGTTGGTTTCATTTTTTTAAGATCACTTATTGAATATAAATTTAGTTTCTTTGCTTTATTTAAGTGTAAGTGGTAATGTGACAGTTTAGCAGACAAATAATATTGACTACTGCCAAGGAAAAACAATGACGATTTTTACACATTTGAAATCATCAATCAATCATTGTTAGACCACCATTAGAAACCTGGAAGCACTGGACGGCCGTTTCGTTCTGGTATGGGACTCATCAGCAGTGTGCATTCACGACTCCTGCACCTCGCAGGATTCGAACCCAGGACCTTCGGTATTGTGCGCGAACGCCTATCCATCGGACCACTGGGCCGGCATCCAACGGTGTTAATGTCTAACTCTGATTGATCTACGGATTTTGCGTGACCTCACCCATATGCTTCCAGGTTTCTAATGGTGGTCTAACAATGATTGATTGATGATTTCAAATGTGTAAAAACACAAACCTCCCAAAACGCTGCCCGACAATGACGATTGTTTGAATGACTGAGTTAAATAAATGTAGACCAATGATTAATAATTTATAATTGGTTTAGGAGAATAGTTTCATTTGATGTTTGCCATTACAGATTGTTATGAATGCTCCCTAATTTTCAGCAGTACGAAAAAAGTGATTCTTCAAAAAATTGGAGGAAATTTTCATCACTCTAAATTTAATTTCGAATACTGTGTCAATCTTTTACAGTCTAGAAAACAAGGAGTTCACGCAGGCTCCTAGTTTACAGGATAAGTAAAACAAACTCGATAACTTACCGATAAAATCTATCTTGACCAAGAGGTATCATTGAACAACCACGCGAAACCTGAGTAATCGAATCCAATAACTTTTGTTCTTCTAATAATGAATCTGTTAATTTCTCATGTATATTAGCTATAGATGAGGAAGGGATACTAGAAGCTGTTATTCCACTATCTGAATTGGATCGATTTTCTTTTCGATTGATTAGCGTATAATCCTCACTAGAAAAATTATCAAGAATGCAGAGAAATCAAACTTGTACCAGACAAATTATCAAACTTAGAAAATTCGCCAAATCAACAAATTCAACATTTTTGTCTTTCGAGATTATGGGTGTTCGGCATTTTTAACCTAACCAATAATCGACTTGTGCAAGTCGTATAAAAGCAAATGACGGTAAAGGAAATCAGCATAAAACTAAATAAAAAAGCAGATGATGTAAAATCCACTTTAATAGTCCACAGAATGGAACGCTTTTACAATCATGATAAAAAGAGTTGAGTATAATTAAAAATGAAGTGAGCACGGAATACAATACAATATTGTGTTATTCTTTCTGATGATAATCAAACATAACAACTATAGATATATATTCGCATCGTTGCCTGCAATACCTATTGCGTAAAGGTTACGAATACTACTTGAATGAGTTTTGATTTCATGAACTATCAGTTAAGGAATATGTTTCTAATCCATATCTTCTTACTATAATAAATAATCTCACAATGTTGCACATTGAAAACAAATCATATATAGTAGAAGTTAATGCAAGAACAATCCCTAAATCAGATAATTTCTAGGTTGAGCACCATTCTTCTAAAGTAGTGGAATGATTTTTCTGTTGAAACTATTATTAATAGGAGACTAGAATGATAAGCAATAACTGATTAGTCCAGTAAGTACTTCAACATAATTAACTGGAATATTTTGTTAACTAAATGATTCATGAAAATCACTTACTCTGACAAAAATGTTTCCAAAGAACTGGCTGTCGAATCTAGTTGCATATTTTTGCGGTTTAGTGTACGACCAGAACCTACTGGACGACCTCTTCCTCTGCCCAATCGTGCTTTAAGACCAACAGAAGTGAAATGAACACGCCCATCATTTGTGGAATTTAGTTTCATTTGCGCTGAAATATCTTGCTCATCTTCAATTCCAGTACCAGAGGTAAGTAATACAGTTCTATCAGCTTGTACAGTGCGTAACTGACTGCGTAGCAAACGTACACGTTCGTATTGATCTTCCATACGTTCTCTAATTTGAGGTTGAAGCAAGAGCTCATCCATTAAAGTGGTTAGCAAGATCAACTTTTCATGTGGAGTCAGTTCATAAACCGACACTGGAATGAAAAATATTTCAAGATCAAAATTAAGACATCTATGAAGTGAATGTGACATAACAAAATCAAGAGCGATGAATGAAGCTTAAGTAAAATCAAATTTAAAAGGCGATGCAGAAAATGAAGTTGTGAAACAGATTTTACTTGCTACTAACTAGATCACATTAATCAAGATACATATGATCAGAAGAACATATATTGAGAAAATACTGAATTTTAAACTACGCAAAGAATAGTACTTACTACACATTAACATGATTAACTTAGTAATGTATTGTACCTTACAATTATCTATGAATACAGACAAGTAGTAAATTTTATCTGACAGTAATCGTTTTTTTTAGAAAACCAAGAAAAATAATAACTGGAAATTGATTTGATTAGTTCAAAAAAAGAACAAATGATTTTGAACAAAAACTCGCAAAAGTAAATGGAAAGTATTTTATCACTCTTTAAGAAGTGTTACTTTAAGACTAATTGAAATATTGTAACTATTATAGAAAATAATAAGCTACAACATATCCGGTTAGCATTGAAACAAAACCAATGTAACAACACTAATAATTTCGGGTGTTTTGAGCACACATATCACTTGTTTATTACAAAATTCAAATGGTTAGTAAAGTCTAATTATTTGATTTTAAGCTGAAAACAAATTATTAGTCTGTGAACACATGCAAAGATTAGTCGAAGTAACAGTTAATGGTGCCAACTGTTTTTCGTTGATCTTTATGCACACACACACACATACATACAGGATGTATGTTACAAATCAGAAGAAAAAACAACGAAGGAAAATGCTAAGAATCTCATCCTAGTTAGGACCTTGAATATATAAACTGTATAAGCGAAGTATCCAGTAAAACACTTGCGATAAATTAATTTATCGAGGCACTATTCAAGTAAGAATGTAAAGCTGTTCGGCATCAAATAATAAAAAAATTAATTAACCTATAATGCGAAACACCACATTACACGACTAACTCGAATGAGTTCAATTGAAAACAGTGTAACGACGCATTATCTCTTGTTATGAATTGTAAACTATCATCCACATTATGTGATAGTGAATTAGCTTACTTGAAGTAAAACAGATCCTGCCATGTTTATTTAATAAACTCGTAACATAAATATGGATAATTTTATACCCAATTCGATATTTTGATAGTTAGCTACCGATGGTATGAATATTGAATCGTTCCTTTTGGATTGAATGGACTATAATCTAATGATATTAGTAGAGAGAATTTTTCATATTCACGTTACTTATCTAAAGCTTTACTACAATTATTTATAAGGAGATCAATTCTAATCGAAAAAATATTAAGCAGTAGTTTTTTAGGATGGCACAATTACGAGTTATACATTAATATATACACGTTTGCATTATTGAATTAGATACAATAATCACCTGTTTTAAGCTTTTCAATTAAAACTGAATTGTTTTTCGCCAGCATAACTGAAGGGTCATCCAAAAGTCTAGTACCTCCCCAAATTTGACCACGCCAGCCTCCACCTTTTGCAGCTGCACTAGTTATGTGTAACCAAAGTGCTTCAGAAAGGCCAGCACGATCCAACGGTGGTAAAGAAGTAGCTCCAGCAATAACTGCTGTTGTTGCAGCACGTGTAACAGAACTTCGGTTAAATGTATTAGGAAATACTGAAGATGATATGCCTGATGAATCCTCTTTGGCTGAAGTTCCACCTGTTGTGTTCAAGACAACAGAAGCAGCCACAGCAGCTTTACCGGCAGCAATTGTAGCTGCTTGAGTTGGTATACCGACAAGTTCACATAAACGAGTTGAAGCTCCAGCATCGCGTAGCACACGGAAGACAGCACTATCTTCAGGACCTCCAGCATCCTCATCATAAAGTGAATTATAATCAATCCCAGTGCCGGAAACATTAGAGACTTGTGTATTCATAGAAAAGCCTGCTTCGGCGGCAGCGACAGCCGATGCTGCAGCAATGGTTGCTGCTGAAACATTAGGAGTTGGTTGACGAGAATTGGCATCTAGCTGAATAATAAAAGCGGTTATAAATTAACTTGCATTAAATAAGTTAACCAAATGTAAACTCTAAAAATCTAAAACTTAACAAAAACGTTTAAATTCTTCTATTATCATATCATTGATCCCTATGCATTTGTTTTCTTATTTAGCTACTACTGCCTATCGAAGGTTGCAGGGGACTATGCAGTCGACTAATGTACGTGTTTTCAAACCGTCGTCCCAAAGAAATACCTACGCATACAAGACTATTTCATTAGACCAAAAAATGGAGCGTTTCCAAGCTAAATTTCCCAATCTTCTAGTTCACACAACACACTAAAGTTACTAGCCTATAGTCGATGTACAAAATCATGATAACTGCGGTTCGTTTTTTTTAATAATCAACAAATATACATAGGTTTTGGTTACTTGGATACATTCTAAACATAGCTCAGTGGCCTACATGCCTACATCAATGTATGTTACTTAATTCTTGAAATGCAGAAAATGAGGGAACGATCAAATAGCTTGATACTATAAAATAATAAACTCTTGTTTTAGGATAGCATCCCAGTTTAAAATTACTTGAAATTATTCTATTTGAAGATGACGAACGGGCTAGATATAACTACGAAAAGAAACTAGAAACTGTGTTGGAACCTCATTTTATTTCTAAATAAAAAATAGGCTGAAGAATAATAAATTATTTAATGATAAACACTATGAATCATTGATACAATTTTATTAGGTTACATTTTTCCGAAAGGTTACATGTAACAGAAAATAAGCAACTATCAGTAATATGAGTTAATACCGAGAAAACTTACTTCTAATCTACGTATGGCAGATAGCATGCTGATAAAGAAATCGGCTAAAGGACCGCATGGATCAGATTCCAACAGACTACTTTCTAAAGTAGATAATGTGAGTGCAGGAGAAGTAGAACGAGAAAAATTTGTACTAATCACCTCTGTACATTTACTTGTTTGTGGGATAACAAATCCAATATGTGAACCAAATACATGAAGAAACTCTAGTAACTGTAGAGCTGAGCCAATATCATCCGAAGAAAGTGAAGAAGGAAACTAAAATGATAATAGTGAAATAAAGAATCTATGAAAACAAGTTCAATGAAAGCAAGCTTAGTTTAAGAACAAAATATGAAACAATATAAACAGGATTATTAGGGAAACATCAATTCTATTTTATTGAAATAAATATAATATTTCCAACAAGTACGAATAGCTTACCTTAGTGAATTCAGGTAATGGCACTAAATCTGACAGTTCCAAATCTTCACGACGACGCACCATACTCCATTCCTTTTCTAATTCAGCTTTTTCAATTTTCAAAGACCGTGAAACATCAAAAACTGGTTGTGGCAATGACTGATCTAGGAAATAGGTAATATACATACGGATATATTAATAAATACATGTATATAATCTTAACACTTTTCTCATCAAAAGAATAGCTATGTTGAATGTCAGTGATTTAACGGTTGGAGTAATCGATTCTCATTCACTAGGCCGTAAGTTCATAATCCGCTCTTGATTCGATTTGAACAGCTGGGCGAGTAGCATTATTAGCCTTAATCTTTAGTTGGTAAATGGGTGACATTACTAAAATATTATTTATTACTGTGGATATATGAGTTTCAGAAAAATGTCTACTGAGTATATTAACACAATGGTACAAGAATAATTACTTGTACTAATTTTGGACTCGAGACACAATCTTACCTAACACAAATAATGAAATCAGTCATCATCATCATCAACAACAGCAACGTAGAACTTTGAAAGTAAGTACAGTAGTTCAAGTTGCGATACCACGTTAGCGCAGAGATATAATTGTCACTTCAAATCCCATAGTAGTAGAGGTAGTAAAAGTATTAGAAGTAATCGGAGAGATTAGGGTTCGAAGATGTTATTCAAGAAGTATAATTCACTGACGCAAATTAAGAAAGAGAAAGATGGAGGTAATGATTAATCCAGGTTAGAATTCCATAGAACACAAAGAGCAAATGCACCTGCGCCAATGCAAACGATTTTGAGCCATGTCATTCAGGATCTCTAACCATCAGTTATTATCTTCTCGCTATCACAACCAGGTAACCTACATCTCCAACGTGACTCAGTCCACTTGTCTGTCACTTCATGGATTTCTGCCATGTTTTGGTCTGGCCGCCCCTAGCTTTCATCCAACCTATTCCTACATCGCAAAACATAGCTCCACACGGCAGTCGGTGGTTAGACATACGCAACACATGTTCCAACCACCTCAACTGAAGTTCCATTACTTCATTTATTGACCTGCCATCCTTACGTAGCACTTGTTTCCTAACAACAACATTGCTTACTCGGTTGTCCCACGATACTCAAGCAATGCTTCGGAGGCACCTATGGTCGAAAACCAGTAACCTACGAATATCTTCTACTCTCACTGGCCATGTTTCACAGCCATAAAGTAGGACGGAGCGAACTACTGCGCAGTACACTCGTCCTCTAGTCAGCAAACGGATACCTTGCCTTCGCCATAAGTGATGCAAGCTGACAAAAGCCAATCGAGCTTTCTGTATCCGTGCCGAGATTTCGTCAGTGACCAGGCCATCGGTACTGATGAGTTTCCCGAAATAAGTGAAGCGGTCAACACGCTCAACTACTTCACTCCCTATCACTAGTTCAGGTGATTCTTTGTAGTGGACTCAGGACTATATAATTACACAAAATTTAACAATCGAACGTAAGTACAGAACATCGCGTGAAACCGATGAATGGCGATAAGACAATGTCATCATATATATAGTTACACAACTAATGACTATCAAAAGATAACTTGTAGGAGTGATTCATCATCCATTTTTGTGAGAATATGATAACAAAACAAACACATACTTTATTGCAAACGAAACCTAAAAGCTTTGAAAGGTCAATATACACAACTAGTAAGCGACTGAAAGCGGAAGATTGACATGCATATTATAAATCTGGTCACGAACTAATGTTGGTAAATGTGACTGTTTTAAGTAAAACACTTACTAAATGAACCATTCACTGCATGCGTACCACTCATTAATGTATGTGTCTGCTGATAAAGAACTTTGTGAGATTGAAAACTGAGGGGTTCATAGTACTGTACACGGGTTGTTGCTCCCGATGAATTCATGTTATGGTTAAGGGTAACGGGACATGGGACGTTTGGAGATGATTTTGTCTGACATCGACTGGACCAGTCATCCGTAAAAGTGTCGATAACTTTAAAACCTTGGCATATAGGGCGACTGGATTCTTTCGATAGATTGTTCATATTTCGAATTATTGAGGCTGTAAGATAAAAAAAATTAATAGCATATCCATATTTTTAGAGCTGATAAAAAAAGCATGGAGTATTAATAGCTATGGGGTTTGAATTGACAACTGCCTCTCTGTGCCAACGTGGTATGGCAACCTGAGCTGATGTACGTACGTACAAAATTCTACGTTGTAGCTGACTGGGTGAGGTAATTCATAATTAGTGTTTTTTGTTCTGGAAATACACTTTCATATATTGATCATGTTACAATACTTTTTGATTACATCTGATCTTAGATACGTAAAACTTGAAACTCGCTAACAAATACTCAACAACATTATTTTCGCTGTGTTAACTGGTGTCAGTCTCTTTCGTAAAGATTCTGCATTTATTTGAAATTGGTACATTGTAACTATTTTATTATTCTTAACCTGATTGCTTGGTTTGTTTCGTTAGACGCCTTACATTTAACTGATGTAAAAATAATAATGAGAAGGCCATCTGATAACCATCAGAAAATATCTTAAAGGATGAATACATATCACTGGTCAGGGAATGGATATCTTTATCGATATATATATATATATATATATATATATATATATATATATATATATAGAGAGAGAGAGAGAGAGAGAGACTACCATTTGTACATACAATTCGGTAGACAAATAGCTTTTCTTTTCTGCTCTCGCCTTGTCACCTAGTTTGAGGGATTAGCACGTATCGCGATTAGACATCAGACACCGCTCATTATGACATTTTGATTATCATGAAACAAGCAGTACACGAGCTTAAATATAAACCTTACCTTGCACTTAAAAAATTTCATCCAATTACATATATATATGTACTACGACGAAAAATATGATCAGTACAAAACAAGAAAAAGACTATCCGAAGAACAAATAAAAAATGTATATTTTATGATAATGAAGTGAAAAGTTCAACAGTTCAGATATATACTAATTGAAATCTGTCCTAGGAGATTCAAGGGTTTTTTGAACAGTAACATTTGAGCACGTCTAATAAATAAAAGACAAAATGTAACGCAACAAAAGAAATCTATTTAAGGTCATTTCTTTGTCCTCTAACAGTTATACTCTAAATCGTACATCACAATTACATATCGAATTGAACACCGACAGGCCTGATGATCGAAATGTTCACATTGAAGCTTAGACTTTGTATTGACCGTAAATTAAGTGAAACAATACAAATAACTGATAGTTTGAAACTTAATAATGACGATTATTTGAGTTAAGTAGAACAACCATATTACAAATATAAAATTGAACCACAAATAACGCTGGTTCTCTTCTACAACTCATCTACAAGTAACTTAAATGTTGTGTTAAAAAGTTTATTTGCAGTCATTGAGATAAAAAAAACTGATTTACAAAATATATTTCATGAAAACCTTTTTAGACTAACTGGTCAACCAGGATTACTGTGAAAAGTAACTGGAAAACCAACTACAATATTAATGTAGTATGTCAAGGGAAGAATACATCAGGACTCACATGGAGGAGCAGGCGTCAGTTCAGACCAACGAGGTTCTGGTGGAAGAAATAGTTTAGCCCATGTCACAGGTCCATATGGATGTAACTTATAACGCTGCATAATTGAGACCTAAATATTCAAAATTAATACAAAACAAGTAGTTATATAATTACTAGCCAGTTTGTTTAAACAGGAAAGTTATACTAGCATATTATATGAAACTGAAACCTAAGGAACTGCTAAAACTACATAACTTGAGGTTGTAAAGTAAGCACATATAATACTCCATGCACCACCTCTATAGGACAATAAACATTACATTTCAAAATAGGCTTGTTCACCCATTTTTAAGTAAATTGCACCGAGAAGTATTCTTATATATTTCAAAGTGAACTCTATCTTTCCTAAACACTTAATTAGCTCAGTCAGTCCCCTAACCGTAATTTCACCTCTATTCTTAAAAAGATCCGGGAGTATGTCATTTGTGTCTGGTAATTTATGATATTTCATAAGTTGGAGTTCCTTGCCGACCTCATCGAGTGAAGATTATAAGTAGGACTTTCTCGCCAGACATTAAATACACATGGTTGTCTGGAAAATTTCGAGAAAGCCGACTCTTCACTGTACTAGTATATTTAGAGGTCCAATAACTTACAGTAATTTTAGGTTCAAAATATTTTATATCAGATGAACTAATGAATTCTATTGACATCGTGATAATCGAACGAAGCAATAGATTTACATTTTCTAGGCAAATCAGTAACAGGGTCAGCTCGACAGAGACTCACAACCATTATTACGAAGTAGCGCAAGTGAGTGAGTGATAAAGTTCGTTTCTAGTTATGGCATGATGGAAATAATTGACCAGTTAAGTTCCGAAATGCTACTGACAATTTCGACAGCCAATAATTTTCTTAGATTAGATGCTATTAATGAGGATATATTCCGCTATCATAGATGAAAAACATACAATTTGAGAATGCAGAAATAAAACTAGTGTATTTAGGTAGGCTACCAAGAATTGTCACGGTGATACTTAGTTATATAAGACTCACTAATGTGGAGTACATTATCATATATATTACAAGACTAATACACAATTTAATGCAATACTATCGCTAACTAACGAACTGAAGGTAACTCGATAATGAGTTTAGAAACACTTAATTTACCATATCCAAGCTTTTGCATAACAGTTCCAAATACGTTCAAAGATATGAAAATTTACCCTGTAAAATGCAAAACGGAATAAATAGGTGAGACTCTAATCGATGGACAACCTTGGAGTAAGAGTTTTCATCATGAACTGATATAACATGTAGTGTCAGAATATCAGTGAACTATACGGATAAATGGATTTCGCACGAAAATTCAACAGCATTTATGTTAAATCTGGTTGATTCGTCCATAGGTTATAGTCCTTGTCAACATATAAGTAGAATAGCATATCGACTCAGTGATATCCAAAATAACAAGAAAGAATAGCGATAGCTATTAAATAGAGTAATATCGACAAGAAAATCCCTAAAATGCTTCCGGAAAGACTAGACAATAATAATAAAGTAAACAAAGCCTTTAACATTTTGATTGTTCAGCTAGATAATAAGCTTTATTATAAAACATAAAAGAATGTGAAAATTAACAGACAGCAGTGGATATCTGGATGAAAACTACTCTTATCTAAAGAAATACCAGTTAAAGTATTAACGTAAAGTCGACTAACTGCCCCGAAATTTTGAGTGAACAAACCTAAAGCTATAGTACGACCACAACGAGTGCCTCACCAGTCACCTCAATTATTTTGTAACAATTTTTCGTCGAATCACCATACATTAATTGATCGCAACGAATCCTCCCAGTACAGTAAACTACCTTTAGTGAAGATATAAAAAACCCGACCGAAGCTGCTACCTTGACGTGGTGGTCGGGCTTGCCTATCGTGATGACCCAACCGAGCTCTACTGGCTGGAACACATGTTCCTGCAGGTCCTACCATGCCAGGCAGGTCGATTGGAGAACGATGAGACTAAAAGCAGCTACCCAAGGTCTGAGGGCGAAGTCGTACTGCTGACTGCAGAGGGGTGTGACAGCAGTAAGGTGTTTCCCTCGGACAACCAGCATCTGCAGCGATGCTGCCTTCTCACAAGGAAGGAAGGGTTAGAAAAGGTCGGCCCTAAAAATGTCACACCTCCCCTACCTCACGGATTTCCGTCTCCTTGGGTAAGGGTGCCCACTAAGGGCCTTTAAGAACGGAGCTAATCCTCTAAATACCTCTCATAAAAAGGCCGTGCGTGACCGGCCTCAAGCAGTTGTCCCTTGGACCCTGCGGTCACGCACCAACACTAATCCATCTTCCTTTTCAGGTTCGTCAAGAAACAACCTTCCACGGTGTGGGCAGCCGGGAAGTGATAACCGCCCTCATACCCGCAACAGCACACGAGACAAAATTGTTCAAAATCAAATCCTTCCTACATTCCCTAATACCTCTCTTATCTCCACAACTAACTCTTCTCACATTCATTTATTACAGTGCACAGCTAATGCAAACGATGCGAGTTTGCGAAACGTCGTTCCTGGTCTCCTTAAACCCCGTTCCAAACTACATGTTGGAGCATTCAATGTACGGACATTGTGTCAAATAGGGCAACAGGCGTCATTAGCTAGGACTTTAGAATCTCGTTCCATCGATGTGTGCTGCGTCTCGGAAACGCGCATACAGGATCCGAGTAGCATCACTCATTTGACCTCACCATGTCAAGATAAAGAAGCAGCTCGATTTACTCTTCGTGTATCCGGTAGCCCTGATGCTGCTTCTAGGGGCCTCGCCGGTGTAGGTATAGCATTGAGTCGTAGGGCAGAACAATCTCTCCTTGACTGGATCCCTGTAGATAGTCGCTTGTGCGCCGTCCGACTCAACGGGACAGTAAGGACTCGGAAAGATAGGGACACTCGCCGTTGCCTCTTCGTCATATCAGCCTACGCCCCCACTGACTGCAGCCCAGATGATGTAAAAGATGAGTTTTACAGAAAGCTTTCGGACCTCCTCCAAAAAGTTAAGCGCTCTGATATAGTTATAATGGCTGGTGACTTCAATGCACAAGTAGGTAGACTAAGTGAAAATGAAAGACACCTAGGTGGATGTTACGGTCTCGCGGCTCAGAGAACAGACAATGGTGACCGTCTGTTGCAACTGTGCTCAGATAACCAACTATTTCTAGCAAACACTAATTTTAAGCATAAAGAAAAACACCTTTTGACCTGGCGACCCCCGAAGTCGTCTCAACGTTGGACACAACTAGATCATATCGCCATCAGCCACCGATGGATGGGTTCGATAGAGGACTGTCGCTCGTTCTGGGGCACATGTTTAGATTCAGATCATGCCCTAGTGCGAGCACGTATTTGTTTGAGGCTTGCTGGACGTAGGAAAGACACCGTAAGCAAGCCTCTTAGGGCTTCACTTGATGATAATCAAGCTAAGAAAATATTTCAGGAGGAACTAGAAAAACAGTTAGGCGGCCATGCAAGTGATTCCCATCCTGAAGCAGGTTGGAATCATATCAAGAAGGCTGTGGAAACAGCAATGGTATCTGCTAGCAAGGTAAACCACAATGCTAGGATGAAGCAGTGGATTTCAGTCGCATCCACCGAACTGATGGATGCTCGAAAACGCATCCCACCTGACTCTGAACATGATGAAGAGCGTAGTCAGCTTAGGTGCAGACTTATAAAAAGCCTACGTAACGACCGTGAACAGTGGTGGGTGGCGAAAGCAAAAGCGATGGAAAAGGCAGCGGCGATAGGCAACACTAGACAACTTTTCCGCCTTATCAAAGAAACCGGTATTAGGAACCCGAATGTGAGTGAGACTATCTCGGAAAAGGATGGTCTTATTATCCATTCTCAATCTAGGAGGCTGGACCGATGGGCAGAACACTTCAGGGATCAGTTCAACTGGCCTTCAGCCACTCTTCGGTTGCCCACGATCTCCAGTCATCCTGAATGGCAAATCGATCTAAGTCCTCCCAGTTTACATGAAGTTGAGAAAGCTATAGGAAATCTAAGGAGAGGCAGAGCGGCAGGTCCCGATAGGCTTACCCCTGAGATGTTTAAGGATGGTGGTCCAGTTTTAACGGTTAAACTGACCGAGATCCTAGGTAGAATCTGGGGAATGGACGTAATCCCATCTGACTGGTCTCAGTCGCTAATTGTCCCAATCTACAAGAAAGGACAGAAGTCCTCTTGTGACAATCACAGGGGAATAAGTTTAACTAATATAGTTTCTAAATTGTTAGCCTCGATTATACTTAGACGTCTAACTAGAGCTCGTGAAGAGCAGACTCGAGAAAACCAGGCTGGTTTTCGACCTGGACGTGGTTGTATAGACCACATCTTCACACTACGACAGGTCCTGGAACACAGACACACATTTAGACGTCCGACAATAGTCGTGTTCCTGGACCTTAAGGCGGCATTCGACTCAGTGGATCGTGAGGTTCTGTGGCAGTGTCTGTCATTGAAAGGTGTACCAAAGAAGTACATTAACCTTATACAAGCACTCTACTCGAACACCACTGGTCGGGTGAGAGCATATGGCGAACTGTCATCTGAATTCTCTACATCAAGTGGTGTCCGTCAGGGATGTCCACTCTCTCCATTCTTGTTCAACTTTGTCGTAGACATCCTCTTAGAGTTAACATTAAGCTCGTCAGATTTTTCAGGGGTTGACCTTCTACCAGGAAAGTCGCTTACTGATCTAGAATATGCCGACGACATAGTTCTATTCGGTGAAGACGCTGACAAAATGCAGAGTCTTCTGACTACCATAAGCAACAATGCGAGCATGTTCGGGATGCGGTTTTCCCCCTCGAAATGCAAAATGTTGCTTCAAGACTGGGTTTCATCGGCACCTGAACTAGTGATAGGGAGTGAAGTAGTTGAGCGTGTAGATCACTTCACTTATCTGGGGAGTCTCATCAGTGCTGACGGTCTGGTGACTGACGAAATCTCGGCTCGGATACAGAAGGCTCGATTGGCATTTGCCAACCTGCGTCACTTATGGCGTAGGCGTGATATCCGTTCGCTAACCAAAGGGCGGGTGTACTGCGCAGCAGTTCGTTCCGTTCTCTTATATGGCTGTGAAACATGGCCGTTAAGAGTAGAAGATGTTCGTAGGTTACTAGTATTCGATCATAGATGTTTAAGAAGCATTGCTCGTATATCGTGGGACAGCCGAGTAAGCAATGCTGTCGTTAGGAAACGAGTACTAGGTAAGGATGGCAGATCAATCGATGAAGTGGTGAAACTTCATCAGTTGAGGTGGTTGGGACATGTGTTACGTATGCCTAACCACCGACTGCCTCGACGAGCTATGTTTTGTGGTGTAGGAGTAGGTTGGAAGAAAGTTAGGGGCGGCCAGACCAAAACATGGCACAAATCCATGAAGTCACTGACAAGTGGACTGAGTCATGTTGGTAGATGTAGACTACCTGGTTGGGGTCCGCGAGACGAAAGTCATCAATGGTTAGAGACCCTGAACGACATGGCTCAAAATCGTTTGCAATGGCGCAGGTGCATCCACTCTTTGAGCTCTCTCAAATCCTAATCTTCTGGATTAGCCAGCACCTCTACCTTTGTCTTTCTAACCTTATCTCACTGAGTTATATTTTTTGAATAATATCTTAAACCCTAGTCTTCTATATTATAACACTAATACCTCTACCATCTTTATCACTATGGGATTTGATTTGACATTTGCGTCTCTGTGCTAATAATGTGGTATGGCAACATGAACTTATGTACATACGTACGAAGTTCTACGTTGCAACTGACTGACTGAAGATATAAAAAAAGATACATGACATCTACAAAATACTTGAAACTATCAGTACCCGAAACTCACAGCTACAGAAACAGATTAACAAAGATTTTAAAACACACCTTGGGTGTAAAAACGCCATTTCTTAATTCGCATGTATGACGAATGAAAAATTTGATGTGATCCCTAGCCAGTACATTACGACTACGACGATGAATGATAGATCCAGGTACCAAAACACTTGAGGAGATACGGTTTGCACCATCAGACTTTTTATGCTCCCTTACGCAGTAATGAAGTTTTAGTGCATCAGGAAAAGCAGGCTTCTGAATATCTGAATCTGTCAATAATCCACTCTGTAGAAAAAAACAGATATGTAGACGGTAAAGATACATTTATTACAACTAGATAAACACATTTATTCGCGATGGAGTGCGCATGAACGTGCACGTAAACGAGGCAAATTACTGAAAATCATCTTATGACCACAGTTTTTTCAGGTGAGAAAGCTCTTTAAATTCAGGAGTTACTGAATTATGAGTTTTCCTTAAATATTAAGGCTAAAGTAAGAGCAGAATATCATACTTTGCGCATGGATCAGTTCCACTCAATAACATTGATGAAATCAATACAGGTTTAGAGTATAAGAAAACATAAGACATATGTTGATCATGTACTGTACATGAACTGAGTAGAATTCCTATACTAACGGTCTTATTTCTCTCGGTTTAACTCGTTAATTTAGGCTTTAAACTCACTTTTTTCAGTTTGCTTGAATCAACTAGAATCCCACGGATTTTCTCGAAGAAATTACCACTATTTAAGGATGCTTTATGGTCACTTTAATTACACTTATGCTTATTGAACGGCATTTATACGATATCTGAAATGTGTTACAGATGAAATCAGGCTTAATTTGTTATATCTGAGTCTTGCAGTCTCTGAGTGCCACTTTTATTACCAAAATGCAAACCTACCTACTGAACTAATAGCCAAACCTACCTTAGAGTTTAAACATTATTAGGCAGAGAATGACTTAAAGACATAACTAATTAGTAAGACGTTGAATATCCAAATTAATTGCATATATTATAAGCAAGCTTCAGTATCTACATGCTAAAACAGCAAAACCTTCAGACTGGACTGAAAACGATACCCGGTCGAGATATTTCGATCTTACAGTCAAACAATTTTAAGTCTTACGTAACAAAATAAGATTTTAAGGAAGGAAATATGAAGAAACTGCACAACTTGATGATCCACTGAACTAGTGTGAAACTATAAGAGTTGCAGGAAAACCTTTGCAAAGCAAGCTAAATACCACTTATAACCAACTTCACGATGAAAGTATCGAATAAACAAAGCTTGTATCAAACCATAACTTTCTTTAAAATTACTTACATGCTCAAATTGAGTTTTCTTCTGTGACACGACTACACGCTCAATAATACCGAAAGATCGAGTACTAAAAAAATCAAAAGATCAAACTTAATAGCTTTAAGTAATGTGGCTAACTTTGGACTAAAACTAGACATTCATGTACATAACACTACATAACCTGGTAGACAAATAAGGTAGGTAAATTAATAAGATTTTGAATGTAAAATGGTATAATATATAACCAGATCATGTAAAATGACCAATCCCAAGCTAAATGAAATAACGTAACACATCAAGTCAATTGCACTCACTATGTAAATTGTTGAAATTTAGGATATAGTGAAAGTTAATGAATGAGTTAACTAGGTCTCAAGTCTCTAAATCTGAAAACTGGTCAATATTGGTGTAATATAGCTTTAGGCCAGGTATTATGTGAGTTGTTATTAGTTCAGTCTATTCGCAATAAAAATTGCGTAGAGGCATTATATGAACATGAAAATTTAATGTACTAGATATGATACAGCTGGCTAACAGTAACCGGATAAACATCTCGTCCTCTTGCTGTTGAGTCTCCTGCTCTGAATGTTATGTTTCAATATTTATACCATATGCATAAGAGAATGCGACACCACTGAACTGGTCCTCTTGAGCTACGAAATTCCAGAATCTCAAAACCATCTGGATACACGTGCAATTTTGAGTATGGATCAAAATGATCCTAGGATTGTTGAGTCTGCCCTCAAAGTTTCAAATCACTAATACTAAGTTCAAAAATCCTTACAAAAATATTGGGCACATAATGAAATATCAATAAACACAAAAAAATTTACTTAGAATCCGCAGTCTGAAATTCAATCTCTTCACCAACGAAAAATCGACTACTTGCAAATCCACATATTAGTTCAACAAGTTCTGGAAGCCTCCGTTTCCGTGCACCCCCAATTATATACAGCAATGCAGAAGCCAGAGCATTATCAAAAGCACCCAGTTGCCGATAGTCGGAACGTTCACATGCTATTGCTTCTTTATAAGTGGAAGGTCCCCGATTACACACTGAACAAGTCCATGTTAAACTATTTACAAGAATTGTGCGCTCGAAGTAGTCACTGAAAAGTACAGTTTCAATCAATACAAACCGGTAAATCTAAATTACAGGCAATTAATAACACTTCATGAAAATTACAAACTGTACATAAACAGTAACCACTAATTTGTTAGTATAACTACTTTACGCAAAGTTGTAAATTTATATGTATTTAAATCAGATAAGGTTGGCATATCAATTCATAGGCGTAATGGAATATCGTCGTACGAGAACAAGCTAAACTTAATGATCAAGAGCAGTTTCATAAAAATTGATAACCGGCACGGTGAACTCTGACGTAAGTTGGTGTCATGTTCTATAAGCACGGTAGTTTAATTCGGAAGTCTTTACCGTTTTCCTGGACAACGACTAAACTATTCAGCTCAGGGAAGATAGTCTCCAGAATCCTCCCTCGGAGAAATAATTTAGTGATTAAACATTCTGCTTTTATCCAATCGGCCACAGGTTTGAGTCTCACCTTAACTTCTGCACAGACATCCGTCTAAAATCACTAGTCCTCACTGGAGTGGTTCAAAGCTAAGTACATAAACCCATATTGGTAGATTTTCCACTTTCCTAGGCAGATCTTCCACAACCACTAAACCCTTCAACGCGATGACCATTGGCTTTTCGTTGTCTGCTTCGTAAAAAAAACCTGTCACAAGAATGCAATAAGTAGGACTTCCCCTACAGCGGTTGTATATGCATGGTTATGAGAGAACATTTTGAGAGGGCGAGAAGATTCTCCTCAATCTCGGACGTTCCAGGGCTTTTGAACGATGCTGTTGGTAATTCTAATTGAGAATCAACTCACAATAAGCAACACAGAATTCTGGGGTATATGGTGGTAAAACCTTACCTTGATATGGTTTGGAAGAGTCACGTCTAAGCTTCTTTAAACGTTAGATTTCAAATAGCAGTCGTAAGCACATCATATGATCCACGATATAACCCACTGTGAATCAAACTTAAGTGGAATATTGTCTTTTAACTGAACTCGGAAAGACCTGACATCCCTGGATGCGAATACTCTCCTTCAGATAAAATGACAAGCGTTAAGTGGTTACTGTAATGAATGAACAAATACATTGGTCGTCTACATTCTAATGAGTCCGGGCAGTTAGATCCATCTTCCTCAACTTACCTCCTCTTTTGTAGTTTCTTAAGGTTCTTTAACTATGCTTTCGCAAGAATACAACTCATACTTCATCTGAATAAAAATGTAGCTTAACCATCAATTACGTCATATAGCAGAGTAACTCCCAAGATAAAATTGAAAAAGTTATACATGAAAAATCAGCACAGTTGGCCAGATATTTCAAACTGACACTGAACACTGCAATGATCAGTAGCTACATACATACACACACAATAATTATACACATAATATAGCTGATAATGAGAATTTCGCGGCATTCTAAACGCCTAAGTACATATACTATCATTAATTCTTACTGAGGTAACTGAATTTTTGCATTTACCTCCAACTAATCGTTCCTAATACTTGATACAAATCAGGTAAGATGCTTAAAAACATAAGTCATGAGAATAACACTTTCAAAACTCTATGAAACATTCAGATTAGGTCAGACAATACATCAAAAGCATCGACTTACTCGTAGTCGCGAAAAACTTCCAATGTAGTGGGCAGAAAAAACAACTCTTCGTCCAATGAAAGATCATTTGGCGGTTGTCGTTTAACAAAAGGTTCACCATTTAAATAAGGCATAATGACATCTACTGTTTCCAAAAAATAGATAACAACACTGCTCAACAACTGAAATGTAGAGATGCAAGAACTACTGCTTCTTAAACAAAAGGTTTTGAAATTTACATGTGTTAGATGTCAAGCACGCTAATTTCGAGATTGTTGGCTGGCAGATTATCGTGTGCAGTAATTAATCAAAGAATTCCCAGCAGTTAGAAAAAATGTAATATCCCAGGCATGAAAATCTTTAGGACTATTTAATAGGAAGTAAATAGTCGATACAGCGAACTTTTCTTAATGTTGACAAAATACCAAATACCCTCTAAATTTAAATATTTAAACAAACAATATAGTGATATTCCTACAGCATGCCATGTTGTTCAGTGGATTGTTCCGCTCATCCGGTCGAAACCTAAATAAGAAACTGCAAGCCTTATCTCATTTTAACTTTTTTGGAATAAAAGATCAGAAAATGCTTAAATAAATTCGGAAGTCCATCATTACAAACTTAATGACGATAATGTGAGCTAGCTATTTATAACTGGATATCGCTATTCGGTAAGGCAGTTGACTGTCTTTATATGACAATTTTTTCGCCACTATGTACCAAAGCTAACGGCATCGTAAAGCAAAGTTTTTTATTAACAATTTCGGAAGTCATGGCTATAAGCGTTCACTCAGAAAACAAAAATTCGAAGCGTGAGACTCTACTCTTTAGGCAGTTGGTCGACCTTACTTGATACTGCTGGACGAGGTGTTTCGATATCCGTACAAAACCAGTCAATTCCCCCTTTCTGGAAATTATTATAAACTAGTTGCCATTATCGACCACAAAAATCCAGAATGGAATATCAGAGGCGAACAGCCTATTGGACCTATACATGCTTAGTATTTGTCATTGTTACATTCCATTACATATAATACATATATTTGAGAAATTCTAAGTCAGTAAAAACTCCTACAATGCCGCCCTACATGTGATTACACACTAACATGAAAATATTGAAGCATAGCTCTTCTTTGGTGAGATAAGTTCAAGAGAGAGTTGAAAGACAGACAAGAACTCTACCTTCAGCAACATTTTTCTCATCATGGCAAAGCCTCAGATACTGCAGTAACAAAGTCATCGCTATCCCTCATTCCTCCACGTATAAAACTATCCTGGGTTTCCAGGATATCAGCAGAAACGTATCTCGAGTAACGTATCATCTTCGTGACAGAAGTGAATGAAACTTTCGAACTGTAACAGTATCGCAACACATACCCTGAGCGTATAAAATCTGGAGAGGAGTATTTGATTACTACTAAAAATTCGGCTGTATCTAGTGGGAACTGCAGTCTATCAGGAATCATGGATGTTGTGAGACACGTCTGTTTATTCGTATATATGAGGGCAGCAGTAAGTATATAGATGCGACTTTTTGACATAGTCAAAAAGAAGCCGTTCTCAGACATGAAACAACCAGTAAGAATTATAACTCCATGTTTATCGACATGTAGGTTCTATGTAAGATCAATTACTGAATTTTCGGCAGACCGGATGCTTCCTAGTAATTTAATAATGTTCGTGCATTCATATGACAACCTATATTCAGTGTTCAATTTGCCTAATATCTATCTCGTATCCGCTCTATTATTGAGTGAATTTTGTGCATAAATTCACAGTTCATACTGAAAATCTCACTTTGTGCCTTGATTTTTACGGTGATTCTTTTATCCGGAAAGTTGAGATGCATTAAAGTGGCACGTTTACAAGAAACATATAGACTGAAAGAAATCCCCAGTAGAATTTATGTTCATATATTCACTACTCATCGACCAGGTAAACAGGTAATACCTAAAAACGAAACATATTGCGCTCCTATCGAACCATAACAATGGATGGCAAATCGTATACTTCAACCTAGGTGGAAGTTTATAAAAACACATTGATTTCTAAATGTAACCTGCAACCAACCCGGCTTTAGCATACATCTGGAAAATATTTCCGACTGATACTTAGGGAGTATCTTGAGTTCAATAAATAATTCTCGGAAATGTTGTAAGGTCAATGATGCACAGCGGCACAACTAGTTGACGTCCTACATTCACGAAATGGAGCTAATTAGTTTTATAGAAACTAAAAACAGCAAAAAACTTGTGAAGGTTCGTAAATCCTCAGGATGAATATTTATGTAAGTTAGTGATATTGAATCAGACTACATTAGGTAAGCCACCAGCTGAAGACATTCAATCGAGCGTACTTACCGGATACTGTTTAATGTAGCTCTAGTCAGCTTAAATTACATACACCTTAAAATATCCCTAGGTCGTCCAACATAGCTCTTGACTTCTAGTTTATTCAATTTTTAGAGCATCATATCACAATTTTTAAACGAGTGTCGTTAAGCACTGTATATATGTGATGTCTTCAAAAGTACTTCATTAGACGCTTCATTTCGAGATAATTTATCCCTCGTACTGTTCATAGATATCTTTCTTGTTTATAGTCCTTGAAAGAATCGACTGATACCCTACTGATAATCCTGAGGGACAACAAAGTACAACCTTATGTGTTACTCTTAACATCACTCTTACAACGTGATTACAACACTGGGAAGTTCTGACCATTTTTAGAAAACAAGGTTGGAAAAAGTTGCAGCCAGACTCCTGCGACACATTGTTACATCACGAAAACAGTTATTACAAAATCGTTTGATCTTTTCTAATCTTGTCGTAAAGAAATATACCTTTGCCGATATTGCAAAAGTTAAGACTTCAGAATACCGGATTGCTGTGAATATAGTAAAATGCCGAACTTCAACCAATTCTATGGGCAATCTCGTCAGTCTAAGTAATCCACTCAGTGGAAGAAACAGAGATTGAGATGTGAATTCTTCCAATGAAAAATAAGAGCATTCATTCCAAAAAGCATTTCGTATCCTTTCCATGTAGCTATAATAGTGATGTTAGTAAGGTGTGGTCACAACGGAAGAAAACAACTCTCCGAAGGCATTTATGTTCCGATCTTGGGTCCATGAGATTCCCATTCTATCAGAACCTTTTATGCTTGTTTAGATAGCATCAGTGCAGCCCTAGTGTGAGTGATGCAATTTTTTCTTCATGGCCGGAGTACAACAGCAGCTGTCATGAAGCTAGTCTTCGTTGTCCAACTTGTATCCAATGTGTTTCACTGATTCCAGGCACCAACAGGCTGTATCTTTTCATTTCTGCCGTTACTTGAATGATTATTCTAATCTCCCACAATTTACGGACATTTTGTGTAACTATATTAGTGGTTGCTCTGACCGTCAGAAGAGGCCCCGGCAGAAACCCGGGATTCAACATGAGGCATCATAACTCTTCTAAGTGAAGACCTTTCAGTTGCCAGGGCAGAGTTTAAATGTTTTGGACAATTTTTTCTGGTTAGCGTTTTTATAGGAAGTTGATTTTCTACTGAAGGGGTCACTAACCCCATGCAAAACCCTATTCCCTCATCCAGGTTGGAACCAGTAGCAACCCTAGAAGGGCTCCGGTGAGAGTTTTGAAAGCGGAAGTGACAGACAAAATAGTTAACAGGGGCAACTAAAAACAGCGAGGTTCTTGAGGGTGGACACTGCCATAGAGGGTCAACAAAATGACGCAATTTCGAACCTCGGATCAATTTATAATTTCGTAGACCCCTATGAATGAAGATAGATACGGTATTGAACTTCGAAAAGATTAGACACACAAGCCTAAAGTCATAAGCAGGCTTGGGAGATCGACACATGTTCAATTAAGTCACTAGCTCCCAAATGCCACGGCGCGGCCGAGAGAATTTTCTCGCCTTCTCAAAATGCCCTCATATAACCATGCATATATAGCCACTGTGAAGGAAGTCATATTGACCGCCTTCTCGTTGCACACTAGTAGTTTACGAAACTGAGAGAGCGAAACGCGAATTTCGGGAGCTTCGACTGGATTGGTAAGTACAGGACCTTTTTGTATCAATATTTATGTTTAGATAAAATAAGTCGTTTTACTCAAGCAAAGTAAAGTGAAGCAAGATATGCATTCTAGTGACTAACTTTTCCTTGCATCACATTACTGGAAGTGCAGTAGATAGCTTGATGTCTACAACACAAGCTGAACAGGATCATATAAAGACGGCCTATCGCCAGTCAGTCATCAACGTAAAACCTGGTACAGACATGTTCTAACCTAATTTACTAAATCCCATTAGCACGAGATGGATAGCACAAAAGATCAAAATTAACTTAGCAGCAGTGATGACGACCAAGTTCAAGAAATATAAAGAGGGTTCCAGAAGACAATGGAAAGGTAGTTGTGGAGGAATACTGGGACTCTAGATTTAAAGGAAGATAAAGTGCATGTGTTACGTCCAGTTTTTTGCTCGTTGATCTTACGAAGCACGGTTGTCGACTATTTGTAATTCACGGTCCCAAATTTCTAAACCAAGAACGAAACTCCAAAGTAGATACCAAAGTTTATTCCAAATCACAAATTCGACCAAATTACTTTATTACAAATAGACGACCAATGTCGTTCTAACAACAATAATTATAATAATTACAATTACCTTCTAATTTATTAGCTCTTGGAGCAAAAAACTGCAACGAACAACAAAGAGAAACGGGAGTCCAAAATGTCCGCAAATAATAATTCAAACAAGTTCACAAGTTAAGTAAAACAAATGTACCCAAAAACAGTGAAATTAATGATATTTATACATGAACGTTTTGATCAGCAAAGTGTCTTCGTTTCTCCCGTAACAGCATGTACCTGAGCTGTCACCTAGTCTTAAACCGTTAACTGCAAAAGCCTAAACCAAGTAGCCTGTCCACTCATAAAGCCTAGACCAATAGTCAACGACTTAATAGGCAGGTGCTATGGTTAACTGTTATAACCATCAAATAGATTAAATATTCTGGAAACCAACTTTTTTACAGCTGGTTAGAACTCGCTTCTCCACAGATAAAATTATCCAAGAAACTACCCTGGAATCAAACAACTGCAAGTTTTTTCATCTTGCATCCATCACTATGGAAATCCGGAGAGCATTTGAGTCATTTATGACTTCAAAAATCAAAATAGTGAGGTTGATTTATACAGGATTAGAAACAAAACATTTATATCGCTAGCTACGATTATATCCTCTACTGGTGAACTAAGAATACATTAAACGGCATACCAGACAGCAAAGTATAACTTCCTGCACCAAAAACCCACAACATTCAGGCCTTTGTGACATTGCAGTTATAAAGAAATACTGTTTTTAATCTGTAAATCAACTATCAATGGGAAGCCATTTAAAGTAACTTAAAATATTGAAACCCGACCGAAGCTGCTACCTTGACGTGGTGGTCGGGCTTGCCTATCGTGATGACCCAACCGAGCTCTACTGGCTGGAACACATGTTCCTGCAGGTCCTACCATGCCAGGCTGATCGATTGGAGAACGATGAGACTAAAAGCAGCTACTCAAGGTCTGAGGGCAAAGTCGTACTGCTGACTGCAGAGGGGTGTGACAGCAGTAAGGTGTTTCCCTCGGACAACCAGCATCTGCAGTGATGCTGCCTTCTCACAAGGAAGGAAGGGTTAGAAAAGGTCGGCCCTAAAAATGTCACACCTCCCCTAACTCACGGATTTCCGTCTCCTTGGGTAAGGGTGCCCACTAAGGGCCTTTAAGAACGGAGCTAATCCTCTAAATACCTTTCATAAAAAGGCCGTGCGTCACCGGCCTCAAGCAGTTGTCCCTTGGACTTTGCGGTCACGCTCCCAGGTCTCTAAGACCAACACTAATCTACCTTCCATTTCAGGTTCGTCAAGAAACAACCTTCCACGGTGTGGGCAGCCGGGAAGTGACAACCGCCCTCATACCCGTAACAGCACGCGAGACCGAATTGTTCAAAATCAAATCCTTCCTAAATTCCCTAATACCTCTCTTATCTCCACAACTAACTCTTCTCACATTCATTCATCACAGTGCACAGCTAATGCAGACGATACGAGTTCGCGAAACGTCGTTCCTGGTCTCCTTAAACCTCGCTCTAGACTACATGTTGGAACATTTAATGTACGGACATAGTGTCAAATAGGGCAACAGGCTTCCTTAGCTAGGACTTTAGAAACTCGTGCCATCGATGTATGCTGCGTCTCGGAAACGCGCATACAGGATCCTAGTAAAGTCATTAACCTGATTCCACCTTGTCAAAACGAAGAAGCAGCTCGATTCACTCTTCGTGTATCCGGTAGCCCTGATGCTCCTTCCAGGGGTCTTGCTGGCGTAGGCATAGCGTTGAGTCGTAGGGCAGAATTATCTCTCCTAGACTGGATCCCAGTAGATAGTCGTTTGTGCGCTTTCCGACTAAACGGGACAGTAAGGACTCAGAAGGATAGGGACACTCGCCGTTGCCTCTTCGTCATATCTGCCTATGCCCTCACTGACTGCAGTGCAGACGAGGTTAAAGATGAGTTTTACAGAAAGCTTTCGGACCTCCTCCAAAAAGCTAGGCCCTCCGATGTAGTAATAATGGCTGGTGACTTTAATGCACATGTAGGTAGACTAGGTGAAAAAGAAAGACATCTAGGTGGATGTTATGGTGTAGCGACTGAGAGAACAGACAATGGCGACCGTCTGTTGTAACTATGCTCAGATAACCGCCTATTCTTAGCGAACACCAACTTTAGGCATAACGAAAAGCATCTGTTGACCTCGCGACCCCCGAAGTCGTCTCAACGTTGGACTCAACTAGATCACATCGCCATCAGCCACCGATGGAGGGGTTCGATAGAAGACTGTCGCTCGTTCAGGGGCACATGTTTGGATTCAGATCATGCTCTAGTGCGAGCTCGTATCTGTTTGAGGCTTACTGGACGTAAGAAAGACACCGTAAGGAAGCCTCTTAGGGTTTTACTTAATGATAATCAAACCAAGAAAATATTTCAGGAGCAACTAGAAAGAGAGTTAAGCAACCATGCAAGCGATTCCCATCCAGAAGCAGGTTGGTATGATATCAAAAAGGCTGTGGAAACAGCAGTGATATCTGCTAGTAAGGTAAACCATGAGGCTAGGATGAAGCCGTGGATTTCAGTTTGCATCCACCGAACTGATGGATGCTCGAAAACGCATCCCACCTGACTCTGAGTATGATCAAGAGCGTAGTCAGCTTAGGCGCAGACTTATAAAAAGTCTACGTAACGACCGCGAACAGTGGTGGGTGGCGAAAGCAAAAGCGATGGAAAAGGCAGCGGCGATAGGCAACACTAGACAACTTTTCCGCCTTATTAAAGAAACTGGTATTAAGAAACCGAATGTGAGTGAGACTATCTCGGAAAAGGATGGTCTAATTATCCATTCTCAATCCAGGAGACTGGATCGATGGGCAGAACACTTTAGGGATCAGTTCAACTGGCCTCGAGCCACTCTTCAGTTACCCACGATCTCCAGTCATCCTGAATGGCAAATCGACCTAAGTCCCCCTAGTCTTAATGACGTTGAGAAAGCGTTAGGAAATCTGAAACGAGGACGAGCTGCAGGTCCTGATAGACTGACCCCTGAGATATTTAAGGATGGTGGTCCAGATTTATCAGCTAGGCTGACTGAGATCTTAGGTTGAATCTGGGAACTGGACGCAATCCCATCCGACTGGTCTCAATCCTTGATTGTCCCAATCTATAAGAAAGGACAAAAGTCTTCTTGTGACAATCACAGGGGAATAAGTCTAACTAATATAGTATCTAAAATATTGGCCTCAATAATACTTTGACGCTTAACGAAAGCTCGTGAAGAGCAAACTCGAGAAAACCAGGCTGGTTTTCGACCTGGATGTGGCTGTATAGACCACGTCTTCACACTACGACAGGTCCTGGAACATAGACACACATTTAGGCGTCCTACAATAGTTGTGTTCCTGGACCTTAAGGCGGCATCTGACTCTGTAGATCGTGAGGTTCTGTGGCAGTATTTGTCATTGAAAGGTGTACCAAAGAAGTACATTAACCTTATACAAGCCCTTTACTCGAACACCACTGGTCGAGTGAGGGCTTATGGCGAACTGTCACCGGAATTCTCTACATCAAGTGGTGTCCGTCAGGGATGTCCACTCTCTCCGTTTTTGTTCAATTTTGTCATAGACATGTTCCTAGATATAACATTATCCTCGTGTGAATTTTCAGGAGTAGACCTTTTACCTGGTGGCTCGCTTATTGACTTAGAATATGCCGATGACATTGTCCTACTTGGTAAAGATGCTGATAAAATGCAGAGTCTTCTGACTACCATAAGCAACAATGCAAACATGTTCGGGATGCGGTTTTCCCCCTCGAAATGCAAAATGTTGCTTCAAGATTGGGTTGCATCGGCACCTGAACTAGTGATAGGGAGTGAAGTAGTCGAGCGTGTAGACCGCTTCACTTATCTTGGGAGTCTCATCAGTGCCGATGGCCTGGTCACTGACAAAATCTCGGCACGGATACAGAAGGCTTGATTGGCTTTTGCCAACCTGCGTCACTTATGGCGTAGGCGAGATATCCGTTTGCTGACTAAAGGACGAGTGTACTGCGCAGTGGTTCGCTCCGTCTTACTTTATGGCTGTGAAACATGGCCAGTGAGAGTAGAAGATATTCGTAGGTTACTGGTTTTCGATCATAGGTGTCTTCGAAGCATTGCTCGTATATCCTGGGACACCCGAGTGAGCAACGCTGTTATTAGGAATCGGGTGCTAGGTAAGAATGGCAGATCAATCGATGAAGTGGTGAAACTTCACCAGTTGAGGTGGTTGGGACATATGTTGCGTATGCCTGACCACCGACAGCCTCGTCGAGCCTTGTTTTGTAGTGTAGGAATAGGTTGGAAGAAAGTTAGGGGCGGCCAAACCAAAACATGGCAGAAATCCATGAACTCATTGACTAGTGGACTGAGCCATGTCGGTAATTGTCGACTACCTGGTTGGGGTCCGCGAGATGATAATAATCGATGGTTAGAGACCCTGAATGACATGGCTCAAAATCGTTCGCAATGGCGCCGGTGCATTTATTCTCTGTGTTCTCTCAAACCCTAATCTTCTGGATTCTTCAACACCTCTAGTTTCGACTCTCTAAACTTTTCTCACTGAATCATACTTTTTGAATAGTATCTTCTAATCCTAACCTCTCCGATTACTTCTAATTCCCTTACTACCTCTTCTACTATTGGATTTGAATTGACGATTACTTCTCTGTGCTGATGTGGTATGGCAACACGAACTGATGTACTTATGTACAAAGTTCTACGTTGCATCTGACTGACTGACTGACTGAAAATATCGAAAGACTCTTTGAAACAAATATGAAGATAAAAATGTTGAAACTGCCTTGCCTTGGTCTTATAAACTGCATAAAAATGTATGTACAATCTTAGTATCACTTTGCAAATATGGACCGTAAGTAAAAAAACGCATTTGGAAACAATACGTATGTATTTACATACAATCAAAATCTCAGTGTGGACAAGCACAGAACTAAATAAGGATTCCGTTAATCAGTACATATTGATTGCATTATTAGAACGAGGCATTTTTATACGATCCAGATTTTTGATGATGATATCATGTAAAGTGGCCTAAAAATTTTAAAACAATACAAGATAAGCTATCATGAATGAATGCATGATACATTAAAATAAATCAAAATTCTCCTGCCCAAATGCAAAATATATTTCATGTCAATTGAAAATCATTACTTTGAAGATTATAAAACTAGCGTTTATCAAATAATATTCAGCTATTAATAAATTTATTAATATCATTCACTCCCGAAATCTGTACATATTACCAGTTAGTTCAGTTTAGATCTAAATACACATGTTGATAAGGAAAAAATCCATCTTCATTCTGCAACTTGTCAATTCATCACAAACATATTCGCTAATCTTAACTGCGGGATAAGTAGTCTTCTAGTTAGAAAATTTAGATGCGTCACATTTAGTCACGCAAAATCATTAAGAACTCTTCAAGTAGATGAAAGCATAGGGCCTTACAGAAGAATTACAATCACTGAATACTGCCGAAAGTTAGACATAAAGTAATACGTAAATGTTCGATAGAGCATTTTACACAAATGAATTGATTGAATGGTAAAAATCTGTTAGATAAACATAATATGATAGCATTTATACAGAATGACAACATTGAAGTCGAAAACAACAATAGGTGTTTTACACCAAAATCAGAAAATGACAGAATTACTTAATAAACTATTGATATTTCTTTATTTGATACGAACTACTAGAACGACGTAAATTAACTGCTGTTTTTATGAACAAACCGATACAAGACATTCATGAGACTGACATGAAAGGAAAGTCCTACTGAAGTCAGAAATAAGCACAGTGGATTAAATAACTTACAAGTGTTTTGTAATAAAAAAATTACTACACACTCAAACTTAATATCTTTTAAATTATTTGAAGTAATAATATCAAAGGATAAATAGAAATGATCTTTCTTAAATTATGCATGAATAAGCAATGACGCTTACATAATGATTACGAATTTCCATGATAATATAGCGCATTGTTATTGCTTGCTTTTCATCCATATCACGGATACATTCACGATAATCTTCAATATGAGGATATTTTGCTACTTTACCCACTAATTTCCCTCTTGAAGCATAATATCTATGTACAAAGGATAAATCGGAAAAAAATTCAAGTAGCATTAAGTACGTAAGTTAATACAATTTTATCATAAAATTAAGTGAATAATAAAACAATCCTCTATTATATGCTGGAATGCTACAAATGAATCGAAGCATGACTAACGAAAAAATATCATTATGGCCCCAGTAAACTGATTGGTTATGATTCTTATTATAGCGTTATGGCGATTCATAATTACAAGGAAGCTCAAAAATCACCATTTTGTGATAAAATGTGGTCACTAATGACTAGCTTTATGAGGAAATCCTCGGGGTTCTAGTGAGAAGCCGTGACCAGTAGAGTTCAGTCCTGTTAGGTATAAGCAGTTACCTACAAAAGACTATGGGTGCAGTTGAGCAATACCTTGGACTGATTAAACCGAGATAGTAACACCGTTAGATGCCAACTCAGTGATCCAGAGGTTAAACGTTCATGCACGAGGCCATAGGTTCTGGGTTCGATTCCAGCGAGCGGGGGTCGTGGATGCGCACAGCTGATGAGTCCCGCACTAGGACGAAAAGGTTGTTTAGTGCTTCTAGATCTCTAACGGTGGTCTAACAATGATCGATTCATGATTTTAATGTAGAACTCTAATGAGAATTTCCACCATTTCTTCTACAACCTGCACAGTTAACTTTGCGTCAACGCAAATTTAGCATCCACTGGCTTGCTGTACTCAACCCTTTTGTTACCCTTTACCCTAAGTCCAAAGGCAAGTCAACAACCAACCTCCATTATATTTAGTTCAATCAGGATCCAAAACTCACACAATGATATAGAATAAAATCTTGACCACACATCAATGTGATTGAGAAATCTTAATGACGGTATAACTACACTATAAGTAGAAAACAAATGAATACTAAGTCTGTAACAAATTAAAGTTAACTTAAGGAAGGCACAACGTGTAATAGTAATTGATGCATCACAGAAAAGTAGGACAATACAAACATACAATCATTTAAATATTTCATAATTAAACAGCAAAGTGGAAACAACGCCTTTAGGGAGGACAGTTTCGAAAGTTTGAATTTTCTCATAATCGTCCACTTGTAATCAATACTACTGTTAAACATAAAGTAAAACGGGTAAGAAATGTTTGATTAATGTAACAACTCATTGACCAAGCACATATTCATGTACAACTCGACGCTGTGTCACACTTTTAATAGGCGAGGGTTAGTGAAACTACTTCATCGTCTAACTTCCAATGTATAACTATGAGTTAAAACTAGCAGATAGAAGTTTTGATTCTCATGAAACATTAAAAGCTTAATTTGGATGAGGCATAGAAAAAGAACCTTTGTAAAATAAAGCAGAAATCTTTAAAAAAATGATACAATTTAAGAGATTTTTTCAATTTATGATTGCAAATTTAAAAAGTTAAATGGGCAAGTTAGTTTGTTACTACTACTAATATCAACACTGTTGTGGAATCCTTCCAACCACGATCGAATATATGTTCACAACTGCCTAGTTTCCGAAAGTGCTCCAGATAAAATCGATAGATGCCAATCGCATATATGTTTGTACATTGCATGCATCGCAAATTGGTCTCGGCAGTGTGCATCCTGGGCGGGGTGGTAGGTGAAAACTGCCCTATACCCAGACGAAACAGCTGCCCAGTCTTCCCAGGCTTTTAGAGGTATATCGAATCAAATCAATTTGTGACGATTACTACCAACAAATTTAACTGATCTCCACAAAGCCCTCTCAACAAATTCTAATATTAAGCTTATCAGTGACTCACTTCAAGTTATTCATGAAGTTTAGTGCGAATTCGTAAGTAGTGGAGTTCAAGCATCTTTGGAGTTAAGTTGTGAAGAACGGCATCGGATGTTCATCGTGCTATATGGAATATTGATTGAAGCCAGAACTGTGCCACTGGACGCTGACCCAGTGGTTCTAACAGCTGAGCGTTTTCTACGAAGCCTGTAGATCCTGGGTTTGATCCTTGTGAGGTCGCAGATGCACACTGTCGAGAAGCCCAAAACAGATGGTCTTTACCCCTTTTTTCAACAGCACCCCAACTAAAATCAACTTATAAGGAATATTACCTACAAATTAAACTAATCTCCACAAAACCACTTCAATTATGCATATATATTGGGGGGATTGCAAAACAAATAAGGATATACAAACCTTGTGACCTGATCCAAGAAAGTACAAGCGTCTCTTTCAATCCCGGAAGCTTCACCTAAAATCTCTTCTTGTATTCCTACACCAAAATTATTTCCATCTTCAATTCGTGGTATATTAAATTGAACCCATAAACGAACAAGTTGAGCTTCAATCATAAGTTGAGTTAAACATGGTTTAGTTTTCTTAGAAAATAAAAAATAACACGATAAACTGGTAAATTAGATTGAGAGCAAGACATAAGCTTATGTGTTGTTCTAACTTTCACAATGGGAATCTTTAACATAATTAGATTTATAAGCCTTATATCTCTGACGTTTGATTGAAGCCACAAGTATTTTACAAACTTCAACACAAAACCATAATTAAATCGCCAATTAAATTGATAATAATAGTCAAATTAAAAAAAATTTGCAGGCATCTAACTCTTGTTATATATTTATACAGATTAAAATAATTTGAATGAGTTGGAACCTGGATTTTGATAATAAATAAAATATATTTCCTTACGAAAACTGTGTTACTTTACAAAGAACTTAGGTTAATAGCGCTACAAAATCCGTTCACCGGCTGAAAAGTTCTGTGTACTCGTAACTGAGCTACAGTGCTTATAATACTATCTGACTCCTTAGACTGAAGCAGGTGAAGCGAGGTTCGAACATGAGACCTACTAGTTGAAAAACGTTTTAACCACTAAACTAACTGTTTATACTAGTATATCTACAAGAGTGGATAGAATCATACATAATGAAAACACTAATACAAAACTATTAGAATAAGACTCCCATCTTACTCATGATTATACGTTTTACTGATAGGTAAATATTACATGTATAAAGAAAATAAAAACTACAGAAGATACGACCACTAAAATGTGAAAGAATTAAAAAAAAGACATACAAAAGGGTAAGACATAAAAAGGGTTTTATGTCACTTTAAATTATAGTAAACAGGTAAATATCGCAGTACCATAAACGATACTATCAAAGACGCACCGTTAAGCGATGACAAATCCCGGAAATAACTTATAATTATTACTTTTTTATAGTTAACTTTATGTGAATTTGAATTTATCGGCTTGCTGAGTTTTAAAATACCTCAACTACAGAGACGCTGTTACACTATTGGTTTGTTCTTTAGAACTTTGAATGTATGTCATGACAAATTATTTCCGAAATGGAAAGGATCTAATATCTTCTAGTGAAATAAACTCATGATTCAATGAATACGTGCAGATCGGAAAAATACAGTTACTAAAACTAAATCCAATGTCTATTTACTACTGACCAAACGGTCAAAATCGGTGGCACCGGATTCTGTTTACAGTAATAAAGTCATAATATTGTTATAGGCCAACTTTCCCAAGTTATAAAATAGTTTTACCAATATCAGTTTCTGATACGAATCTAACTTTTCAATAATTAATATTTGTTTGACATTCTTGTAATAAAATCCATTTTAAAAAACGATCTATTCCATAATACAATTCTATGTTTACTGTTGTTTCATTAGTTGTATTTCTCATTAAGATGGTTGTGCTAATACATGCGCCTTCACTATTTATCGGTTTTGAAATAAAAATTCTTCTCATTTGGCAAACCATGTAAATTTATTGTTAAGATTAAAGGAGACAAGCATGTGTTAAACATATGAATATTACGGGGTTGTGAAGATTGTTAAGCTACACATTTTTGAAACCATGAATCGATCAATGTTAGACCACCATTAGAAACCTGGAAGCACTGGACGGCCGTTTCGTCCTGGTATGGGACTCCTCAGCAGTACGCATCCACGACTCCTGCACCCCGCAGGATTCGAACCCAGGACCTTCGGTATTGTGCGCGAACGCCCTAACCGATAGACCACTGAGCCGGTATCTAACGGTGTTAATGTCTAACTTGATCATATTCACGGAGTTGCGCAACCTCATACACAGTCTTCGGCAGTTACTGTCTACACCCGAACAGGTTGAACTTCACTGGTCACGTCCTGAGTTCGAATCCTGCGGGGTGCAGGAGTCGTGGATGCGTACTGCTGAGGAGTCCCATACCAGGACAAAACGGCCGTCCAGTGCTTCCAGGTTTCTAATGGTGGTCTAACATTGATCGATTCATGGTTTCAAAAAACATATGAACGTCAAATTAATCAACATAAACACTAACCTCTATCATTGCTTTGATATGTTTATTATATGACACATAACCATTCGGTAAAGTGTAGACAAAAGAACCTTTACTAGGAAATTGTTGTTTATCATTGATCAGCTTATCTGTATCATTGATTAAAGCAGAATCCATATCATCACCAGAATTTAATGAGTTATGTGAATTAATAGGATAAGGTATATTCACATCAGAATGGATATGCTTTCCTTCTAAACAAAAAGGGTTTAGACAAATGAAAAATAACTGGATGATGATAGCAAATTTTTAACGAAAATTAAATCTTTATTTGCAATCAAGAATAAGGAATGGATGAAACAAAAGTATAACCATACAAACTGATGATGAGTCCCATTACTGAAACGAAACAGTCACCTAGTACTTCCAAGTTGCCAGTAGTAGTTGTCTAACTTGGATTGGATCATAATTTCAGTGAAAACCAACAATCTCCACAACTTCGTGTTGAAATTATTGATCACGTTTGGGTAAGGATAAGATGTAACTGATGTGTATATCTACGATAAATGCTAATGGTCTCCATAACATAGTCTGTTTACATCATATAAACAGCAAGTATTGCTGCACATAAAATTTTTCCCGCACAGTTATACCTAGTAGCGTTTTTGATGTAGTTGATGTAGTAAAATATTTTTTCAGTATTAGAAAATTACTGTTACTTCGTCGTATTTTCGCAAAACTGTATTAAATAGAACCCATGTCCTTCAAGTATTTCAACTGATGACATGGTGATCTTAGTAGATTAAAAGCAATGTAGAATCTGCCACACATGTCCATCAGACTAAGTTACTACATTGCACTACTACAATGAGATACGATCCTCCAAACAAATTCCAAAGTAGTAGTTGGAGCAGTAAGAGTGATAGTATAAGAAAAGTGATTAGATCAGAATGAATTCGCCAAACATAAACCGGATTTCGAAACCCAAGTGAATCTAACCGGGACATGGCAACTGATTCCGAACCACATCACTCAGTATCTCCAACCACCCTATGAGATATTTGGGCACACTCTAAAAAGATAGTCTTATCAATTATTGTTACAGTAACCGGCTTTCAGATATACTATTTTCGTCGTGGCTAGTGATACAATCCGGTTATTTAGACGAAGCTTAGTTGCAGTGGGATTCGGCCTATTGGTTGAACCGTGAATGCTTTAACCTCAAACTTACCACTTCAGTAGTTCGATGTATGGATTCAGTATACCAAACAATTTGATTGGCTGGTCTCAAAATATACAAAGCAAGTATCTTTAATAGGATACAAGAATTTACATTGTAATTGCTCAGTCGGCAGACAATAAATTGCTAATTACCCGATAACACCAGTAGATATTCAGATGAATTAGAAAATCGATGCACTCATGGAAATAAACTAAGAGAAAATTTCTATAAGTCTGCACAAGCAGTTTAAGTGCCAGTTGCTAAACTCCCCCAAACATCAATCATAATAGCATATCGCTTGGAATCATGAATGTTATATGAATCGGTAATTAGAGCTACAAAGTAGCGTAGTTAATAGCAGTTATCTGGTGAATAAATTTAATATGGTACCTAAATTATGCAACGTCATGTGAAACCACCAGTCCAATGTCATAAGATTTAATTTGCAATCTGAATGACAAAAATTCAATAATTTTGGAGCTGGTTAGCTCCCTGAAATCAAACGTGAAGCGTTTATTTTTACGGTTTCATAAGGACCCCTTTGATGTGTGAAGAAGTAAAAAAAGGTGACAAAATTTCTTTGAGAATATCTCACAATATTGAAAAATGGATGTTTATGAATACTTCTAAAAGATATCATGTCTAACTACTAGTGAGTTACCTGAGGAAAAATTATTCACAAAACTTACCGAGAAAAAACATGTCCGAAGCTAGTATATCTTCCATTTCAAATACACGTTTTGGAAAGACATTACGCACCAACTCTTCACCGTCGACTTTAGTTTTTTCTTTGTATGCATTTAATCTACCCTCTTCAGTGTTCATAATGTATAACAAGCAATTCAATTAAGTTTCTAAAGTGAAAATAAATTACATAAGTTGACAGTATTAATGAATTTAGTAAATATGAAGATGAAGAATAATATGAATACCTACTATTTGCTGCAAATAAAGTAACCAAAGTTTCGTTTCTGCCGCCAAAAACCTGGATGGAGGAATGCACTGATGATCACAAACTGTTTTTATGTTGGAAAATACAATAGGTTCTGTGATCATAAGCTTACATTAAATAACATTACTCCTTAATGCAACGCAGTTCTGGCAAACGTGTATGGTACCCTCTAAATTAGATGCCTGTGGGCAAGATATGCATTATCATATTGTCGTTATTTGTTTCACTGATTATTTAATCCTGGGAGTTGGAAGTTAGGGTATTCGATATATGGCTAGACTCCAACCCCATCCCACCTGCTCAAGTTTGGGAACCTACGTGGTAACATGAGCCCTCGTATTCGGAGCAAAGCTTTTACCAAACAATTCGGTAAACAAAATTATCTATTTTTACATTCGAACTATTTCAAATAGTCTTGAACTTAACTAAGCCAGATCTATCGCTTCATGATGTATAACTATTGGAAACTCGAGCTAATTTTAAACATCAACATTTAGTTAGTTCGGGTTACAAGTGCATACAATGGGAATAAAAAAGCCGTTAGCTTTCTATTCACCTAAAACGTCCAACTTACAGCGAAAAAAATGTAGATGTCGCATAGAAATGCTTTAGGACCCTAAGATAAGTCACCATCTAAGAAAAACGATTGCCAAACTACCAGCTTTTACAATGAATACAACAAACCTAAATTTTGACAAACTACAATAGAATGAAATATGAAAGATCCAAAGATTTTACCGACTTTCAGACGGTAAAGAAATTCTGATATTTGCTTGGTTTAATCTATAGTTCCGAGCCGTTACAATCATAAACTGACCAGACACGTTTCCTAACGATGTTATTTCATAAAGGTTTACATGCTCTTAAGCATATCATTTACAAAACAATATCGAAATGTCTGATAGATATTTTGATTATTAGGCTAAAATAATCCACTAAAATAAATGTCATAACGTGCACCAAATAGAAACAAAAAAAATGCTTTATAGCTAGAAAAACGAGGTAAAAGACCCGAAATACCACACACTTATGACAGTTTTGTTATTCAAACTTCGCTAAATATGTCATTTAAGTCCACGTAGCTGATATTTTTGCAATCTAATATTTATGAAACCCACCACGTGTAGCACAGCCGACGAATCAGCCGCTTCAATATTTGAAAGCACCATAATGAACTCTGAAACACTACCTAGTAGAAATTTCTATCTAAACTATATACATTTAAACATGCTACAGGGGGATTCTCAGTACAGTGAGACATTTGGACTCTGTCAGATGGGTCGTGTAGATCTAAGAAATCTATTTAACGAAGTTTGTGATTCTACCGCATCATCTTGTTATTTTTATCCTGAATACTAATAGGAAGTCTCGAACAACCTAACTTTATTAGGTTCATCAAGAACGCTATAATGTTTGCCACATTTCAGAAGTGTTTTATTCACTTTCCACTCGGTATGGTCGTTGGACTGTGAGCTGCATTTGTATGCTTCCAGTTGGACAGTTGATCAGTCTTATGGGTTAGTAGACCGGCAAAGTCACGCTTTTTTTGCTTACAAAAGCTGATCTTTTATGTGTTAATGAAGTTGATCTTGATTATTTTCAACCCGATTGACGAAATATATTGTCACGATCTTTAGTAAGTTCTTGAGAGTATACTGTCGTGTCTGAGGAAGCTGTGCAGAAGAAGATCAATTTTTCGAAGGAATCAAACATCACGGTTGCTGTTGATATAACCCCTTTCCATTCTCTATTTCCGATGGTTTCCAATCTTTACTACGTGTTTTTGATTATATTCTTACCACTCCAAGAACTGTTTTATCAAATTCTTTACAAATCTTTTGACCTTACTCACTTCGCTTTTCCAACATTTCTACTCGGAGTGATGCCTACTTTGCTGTTAAAATAGCTGAGTCTGTTATGAGACCTGCAAGTGCTTTGTGAACCTTTAGTGGCCATGGAATCCTACTGAACTCTCATCACTGTTCTTATTGGAATCCGACCAACCCGTTGAGGCCTTTAACACGGATATTAGCATTCAGGGTATGGTAAAATCTTAAACGTTGCAAAGAGGAGTGCAAAATTAAGTAGATACTTCAAGGGACCAGAGCCACCAGACATCACGACAAGATTTACGAAAAATAACTCATTAAATGGAAGATTGAGGTATGAAAAGAAGGGAAGCGTAGCGTCGGAAAATGAAGTCGAATACGGTAAGTGCAATTTCCCTAAGGTAATCATCATCAATGATGTCCGCAATATCAAGTTTGGGGTCTCTGACGGAAAGTTTATTACTAAATACTGATCAATTGGCTGTTCTTAATATGGCATGATAATTTTATGTCGTCAGCATGGACCGTCAAGATGGTTTTTATTCGAAGGACGGAATTCACACTAAGCTTTGTCTTGGCATGATAGGTGTGGTTGGTATACCAAAGGTGTATTCATAGATTCTACGCTACATATTATGGAAGGTAAGTAGCTGCTCCTCTAATGTTCCTGTAGACTTTCGGTGGGCATACATTTTCATATGTTATTTGTCTGGACGAAGAATGCGTCGAAATATGATATCAAAAAGATTTTTGGTGTGCTCGCTGAAATTATGGGATAAACTGCATATGGGCAAACATTTTTATGGACAAAGTTCAGACAAAGATATCACTACTGAATGTTACCTCAAGTTGTATACCATAAAATAAAGAAACAACATAAAATGATCAAATGCCCGACTATCAGCTCCTGAAAAGCTAAGACTTGGCAAAAACGAATTCGACCAAATGATAGATTTAGTGATTATCCTTCTGTCAAACAGCCAATGAACATCCCCGTCCCTGGCCTTTTCGAAAAATACCTCACTTATTGGCGTTCAGCCGGTAATTATTGACCACTCAGTACGAAACCCGCATCATATTGTCTCCTGTTGCCTCAAATTTACAACATAACATCTACCTTGGAAGGTGCAACCGTCTTTTCAAAAGTGAACTTCGTTAAAGCGTTTGACCACAGAAATTCCTAAAACGTCTATAATCAATCCCTTTGGACTATATGGATTTTTGCGTTTGCCATCCGATTTAGGAAACTTTGCTCAAACTGTTCAAAGATCCATTTTTGGCGTTTCTAGAGGCCCGACCTTACGCATGCCTATATTGATAACTGTATAATCGCCAGTCCAGACAGAGAATCTCATCTCCAACATCTGAATCTGGACTTAAAAAACATGACATTATTTTCGATATACTGAAACTTCACATTTCAATTGATTCCCTCGACCTTCCCAGGAATACTATTGACGTTCAAGGTATTCAACCTCTAATTAATTCATACGTTTTTAATAATGGTTCATATCAAACTGCGTGTCTCACATCAGATCCTTCACCGACCAACTATGTGGAAATGCGGACAATATTAATTTAGACGTCAATGTGAAGCAAACATTTTCCACACTAAAATAACACATCACTCGATCAGCTATGTGGTCCTCGAACTTCTTCACTTAGCTCGTCCTCAAATACCCTCCTTAAGAGTCCCGACCACTGGACTACACCTCAGAGTTCACTTCAGATATACCACATATTTCAGGAGATGACGCACTGACCTACATAAAATACTTGTACAATTTCCAAGGACAAAACATTCTCAGTCTCCTTCAGTTTCAAACAGAAGGCATCCTCAGAACGAATTATCACTGAATACTCTGATACTATAAATCAAGCACATTGGAATAGGTGCAACGCATAAATTATAAAGCCTAGTTCATTCACTCCTTAACATTCCAACAATTGATAAAAAATGCCTTTGTTTCTCGTAATTCCCGAATCCTTGTTTGACTTGACTTTTAGTATCCTCAGTCGAAAAGGTTTCAAGGACAAAAGCGTTGTCCAATTCTGAATATCCATGACACTCCCAGAGCCATTTGGCATATTATAAAGCGTAATGTAAAGTATCGACAGTGATTGAAGGACCAGACTCACTGATAAGAATGAAATCTTATAAGAATCACTCATTTAGAAATTAATTTCATGGATCCCAAACCTCTTGCAAGCAAACCACAATAAAGCGACCTACTAGACCGAGAAAGTATCAAGCAATGGTTCGCTTCACGACTTCAGTCATGTGCTCGGACCATTACTACATTAAGACGTGAGTAAATCCAATACAACTGTGGTGATGGATTCACAAACGAAATATTCATGCCACATAGTGTCCTGGAATATGCGAAGTTAGAGCGACCATATAACTATTAAATGTATGAAACGACTTCCGTCCTTTGCCTCGCAACCACTTATATGAGTACTACGGGTTAAAATGATCTTAACAATTTATCATTATACGCGTACATTTTTATCACGTATGATTTTTCTCAAGCACATTAATTTGAAATCGTTTTTCAGCATGAGGCACACTCAGATCAATTTATTTTTTCTTACCGGATTCACAACAAACCAGTTCATTGTTTTGAATTATCTATCCACTCTTGTCCAATCACTAGTCATACCATTCCAGTCAGGGATAAGTCGTAAACTTGTTGTCATAAGGTATTTTATCAATCTAACGGTGCAACCTTTTACAGCAAATTTAGTAACATATGCAGCATTTTGATCTTGCCTGTAAACTGGCATTCTATGATAATTAGAAGTATTTGAATTATTGGATGAACTAAAAATCCAAGAAGCAACGTAAGTGGATCAAGAACTACTAGATGAGCAAAAACGAATGTACTGTATTTAGAATTCGAAATCAAGCCTTCAACAACAACAAGAAGTCACTAGTTCATTCAAACACCACATCCGCCACAGCTTAAATTGGAATCCAAGTGTCTGTAATCAATCGTACGTCTTCTTCTCAAATTCATCCTGTGTCTGTTCGACAGTGTATTGGATAAAGGCTCTGTATTATCTAGAATGCTCTCATTAGTATTTGAATTAACAACCGAAATTGTAACAGACTCACCTGGTTCTTGGAATTGTGTTTGATCAACATGTCGATTGTGTGTACTTAACTCATTGATATCTAGAAGTCGCACCATAGATTTCCCGACATTCTTCAGAACAATCCCCGTGGATGGTCGAAGATCATTGCCACGATAAAATGTAACTTCTGCAGACTCCAAACATCTCATATTCGACCGAAGAATTCTTCCTTTTAATAGCTTTGATGGAGTCTCTTTCGTCACCGAATGTCTGGCATTTCTATATTGCAGTACGAAGGTATCTACTCCCCTCTCCAGCTCATTAAATGTTGAGGTAGCAATAGAATCAATAGCAGTTTTCAACGTCCAGACGAAATTTTCTGCCTGACCATTAGAACAAGGATGTCTGGGAGCAATAAACAGATGTTTGCACCCTATACCATTTAACCAGGTAGTGACTGCATCTGCAGCAAAATGAGAGCCGTTATCAGTCACTAATACCATTGGAACCCCTTCTCGACTAAACACCTCTTGCAACAAGCTGTAATTTGGGAACAAATATATTACCAAATCAGTGTTGTATTATTGGAATATAATAAGTGGGAGATCGTATTAAGAGACGCCATTCCAACCTCTCCAATCGAACTTCTAAGGACAATCCTGATCGACTATTTATTCAAATGCACCCGGCTGAACAGTAAAGCCTCTACACGGTACTGAAACAGAAAACTTGGTCTCAACTTAAAAATTCTGAAAAAGGAAAGCTAAAGTAGCCAGAAGTGATCGTTAAAATGAAGCGAAACTATGATGTAATCTAAATTGAGCTACTTATCACTAAGATTACTACCGTCGAATGGCTGAACAAACCTGACCAAATGCTACCTAAAAGTCTATTACCGCTTGTTAGCAGCAGAAAGAGACCGATAAATAGCCAAATGACCTACGCAAGATCACTAAAAAATATTGAACATTCTCAGTGCACTCCTGGAGTTTGAAGAAGCACTACTAGCTGGAGACTTCAACGGTCCGTCCCTCTATCTTAGCTAAAAGTATACGACTTTGACGGGGTCGTTCTGAAAAGCGGTTGGTCATGGCCATCACATGTTCGTGATTGAGTGGACATGTATGTGATGCCCCTAGACGGAGTAAAGATGAAAAATCCTCAAACATGACAGTAACGACAGTAGCATAGTCATGTTTAACATGGTTAAAACCGAGGTACTAAGTTGAGAAGAAAAAGCATACTACAATAG